ATTGCACAGTATTGCACAATAGCAAGAAATCTTCAATTGCACAGTATTACGCAATAGCAAGAAATCTTCAATTGCACAGTATTGCGCAATAGCAAGAATCCAATAGCACAATATTGCGCAATAGCAAGAAATTGTCAATTGTGCAGTATTGCGCAATAGCAAGAAATATTCAATTGCACAGTATTGTGCAAAAGAAGATACTTCGTATAAATTGCTTATTTCTTGACCAATTTCAATGGGGTTTTATTCTTGAATTCTTGGGGTTCTTTAATATGCTGAATCTAACCGTGTATTAAGTTTTTGGATTTTGGGCCCCGTTTTTAAATTGGTCCACATTGAGGTCCAAAGGGTCCAAAATTAAACTTTGTTTGATTTCATCAAAAATTGAATTATTGGGGTTCTTTGATATGCCGAATCTAACCGTGTATTTAGATTCTTAATTTTTGGTTCCCTTTTTCAAATTGGTCTACATTAAGGTCCAAAGGATCCAAAATTGAACTAAGTTTGATTTTAACAAAATTTGAATTCTTAGGGTTCTTTGATATGCTGAATCTAAACATGTATTTAGATTTTTGATTATGGGCCCAGTTTTCAAGTTGGTCCAAATCGGGGTCCAAAATTAAACTTTGTTTGATTTCAACAAAAATTGAATATATGGGACTCTTTGATATGCTGAATCTAACCATGTATTTAGATTTTTGATTTTTAGGCCTGTTATCAACTTTGTCCACATTGAGGTCAAAAGGGTCCAAAATTAAACTTTGTTTGATGTCATCAAAAATTGAATTCTTGGGGTTCTTTGATATGCTGAAACTAACCATGTATTTAGATTTTGGATATTGGACCATAATAGGTGAATGTCCAATTTAAAATTTTTAAGTTCTTAGACCACATTCATTCTGTGTCAGAAACCTATGCTGTGTCAAATATTTAATCACAATCCAAATTCAGAGCTGTATCAAGCTTGAATGTTGTGTCCATACTTGCCCCAACTGTTCAGGGTTCGACCTCTGCGGTCGTATCAAGCTGCGCCCTGCGGAGCATTTTATTAATATTTGCTTCTATTTTGTGTCATTGTTTACCTCAAGTAAATGATGTACTCACTACTTAGTTGAAGAGTTCTTGATTTTAAAATTGAGAACGGAAATGGGGAATGTGTCAAAGAGACAACAACCCGACCATAGAGCAGACAACAGCCGAAGGCCACCAATGGGTCTTCAATGCAGCGAGAAACTCCCGCACCCGGAGGCGTCCTTCAGCTGGCCCCTAAACAAATATGTATACTAGTTCAGTGATAATGGAAGTCATACTAAACTCCAAATTATACACACGAAACTAAAATTAAAAATGATACAAGACTAACAAAGGCCAGAGGCTCCTGACTTGGGACAGGCGCAAAAATGCGGCGGGGTTAAACATGTTTTTTGAGATCTCATGTATGTTTAATGATGTAACAGGTGAAAATTGGCATTAACAGTAGTTTTATGGATGTTCAAATATCACAAATCCATTAAAAAGATACAAATCAAGGCTAAAAACAGGAACTGTGTTAGGGCATCAATGGGTCATTTGTTTCTCAGTCTATTTATGCTTTTGTTTCTGACAGTGTTAAATTTAATAATCAACAGTCGTCACTGACAAAATAGACTCAAACGTACTTAAGAAAAGATGAATACCACACAATATGATAATGATCCCCAGTACACTCATTACTATCTATAAAGAACAAGTACAAAAAGTTGAATCTAGTTTGAATAGTTAATTTATAATTTTATAAATTACATAACGATCTGCATGATGCAATAATTCAAGTCAAATGATACAATTCATTATTGATGAAATGAATGTAAAGATGTATCGGCTGAAAATTTGAGATAACAGTAGTTTCATAGATCTATGTTCAAATATCACAAATCCATTAAAAAGTTACAAATCGAGGCAAAGGCAAGAACTGTGAGAGAATCAATGAGACATTTGTTTCCCAGTCTATTTATGTTTTTGTTTATGACCGTGTTATATTTTCTTAAACAATAGTTGTCACTAATAAAATAATGTTAGCCACAAACGTGCTTAAGAAAAGATAAATACCACACAATATGATAATTATTTCCAGTACACACATTGCTAGATAAAGAACAAGTACAAAACGTTCTGATGCAACAGTTCAAGTCAAATGATACAATTCATTATTGCCAATATGAATGTTAAAATTAGAGTTAACAGTAGTTTTATAGATGTTCAAATATCACAAATCCATTAAAAAGATACAAATCAAGACAAAAAACAAGAACTGTGTGAGATCAATAGGACATTTGTTTCTCAGTCTAATTATGCTTATGTTTCTGACAGTCATGACAGTGTTAAATTTACTAAACAATAGACCTCACCAACAAAATACAGTTAGACACAAACATGCTTAAGAGAAGATAAATACCACACAATATGATAATGATCCCCAGTACACTCATTGTTAGATAAAGAATAAGTACAAAAGTTGAATTTAGTTTATTAAGTTTAATAAGTGTATTTATAAATTACAAAACGATTTGATGCAATAGTTCAAGTCAAATGATATAATTCACTACTGCAATCTGAAGTAGGATTTAAATGACCACATATTATAAAATCAGTCACAAACTAAATCATACTGTCATTAGCATCAATTTAATCTGCAAGATTGCTTCGTTTTTTCTGCATGATGAGACAAATTTAATCTGCCAGATTGCTCCGCTTTTTCTGCATGATGAACCACCTGACCTATTTCATTAGGGCCTCTTTTAAATACATGTTTATCCTCTTCAGAACAAACGGAAATCCCTCCAACAGCTATAAACAGTAAATATTTTAATACCATAAAAAGATTTATTTAGGTCAGTGAACTTCTAGTACTTAGGTATAGCAATCTGTGTAAGTGGGATGTGTTTCTGTAATACTGTGTTTGTATGCAGACTTTTTTTTTATAAAACTGTGTCAATTACCTCATCTTCAATCTCCTTAATGGAAGTAAAATTTAAGATTGCAGACTGTGTTCAATAGAGATGTATTTTATGATTTTCTAATGATGATTTTCATAGAAGATTTGTGACCCAAATGATATTGAATTGAAAAGAAAGTCACCAGCCCAGAAGTTAGCATTTCTGTGTTGACATGAATGATCGTTGATTATAATGGTCATATTTATAAATTAGCTGTTTACAAAATTTTTTGACGAAGAATTTAGAAGTTGTAACTGTTCACTCATTAAATTCTCTGTGACGATGTCAGTAATTGTCAATTAGACAGCAACCTAACAACAAATATAAACAGAAGACATATAGAGGGCAACATACATTCTTCATGTGTCTTACTAAATAATATGTCAAGCATTAAATTGTCATGAGTTCAAAATAGTAGTGAATAGAAATGACAAAAACAATGAAAGATCTCTTCAAGTAACAAATCACATTCAGATATGAATTGATTGGTTGATTGATTGGTGATTAAAGCCACTTTCAGCACTATTGGCGGTCAGTTTTTATTGGTGGAGGAAGCTGGAGAGATCCACTGACCTTCGGCAGGATAAACTGACAATCCTAGTAAAAAAAAGATTGGAGTCGAATGCACCTGCTATGTGCAAGGTTCGAACTCACAACCTCAGCGTTGACAGCCTAGTGAAATGAGATATGACATGAAACAAGCTCTTATACGATTCCTTACTTTAGACAGGCACATGGATATGTTGTGAATGCAAACTAGTTATTTGAGATATCAACTATCCCCTTTTTTAAATCTTGGTCATTGGACTAACAAACTATAAATAAAAGAAGTCTAGACTAACTATGAATAGATTTAATATAAATCATCTTAGATCTGCCATTAACACCAGTTTTTGTTTTTAAATAAACAAAGAATTGTACCTTCAGACTGGGGACATAATTGTTGGTAAAAGGTTATTACCAATCACAACCCTAAACAACGTGTGTTGTACTGAACAAAAGAATTGATATAATATCAGTGATTTAATCAATATTTTTTTTACTTTAAAATCTGAAGACAAACTATAAATTACCTTTTTCATGTATACATGTGAAGTAATTTGGCACGTTTCAGACCTATTGTCATAATACCCAGTGGCGACCATGGGATTTAAAAGAATTATGAAAATACCTCAAATATTTAGATAGGTCCATGACCATTTAGTAAAATGGTGTCAAAAACTTCTTAATTATTGGTAATAGATATATATATATATATATATATATATATATATATATATGTTATCCAGTGTAAATTTCCTTTACTAAATGTTGTGACTTCAGTCTGGACATCAAATAAATGTCTGTTTTATAAAGTCCTTATATTGACCTCTAAAAGTCTAGTGGTTGTTTTTTGTGGTGTATGGGTGGTTGTCTTGTTGTTTTTTGTGGTGTTTGGGTGGCTGTCTCTTTGTTGTTTTTTGTGGTGTTTGGGTGGCTGTCTCTTTGTTGTTTTTTTGTGGTGTTTGGGTGGCTGTCTCTTTGTTGTTTTTTGTGGTGTTTGGGTGGCTATCTTGTTGTTGTTTTTTGTGGTGATTGGGTGACTGTCTCATTGTTTTTTGTGGTGTTTGGGTGGCTGTCTCTTTGTTTTTTGTGGTGTTTGGGTGGCTGTCTCTTTGTTTTTTGTGGTGTTTGGGTGGCTGTCTCTTTGTTTTTTGTGGTGTTTGGGTGTCTGTCTCGTTGATGTTGGTTACATTGTGGATTCATTATTGTAAGTGGGTTGCTAATTTTTGTTGATTTATTTGGTATAGGTGAACCACCAATTTAAATCAAGATATTTTTTTGTATATTGAAGGTTAATTGTTTTTATCATGCTATTTTAGATCTATCCCTAGTTTAAACAGCAGGTCCTACAATCCTGACAGATTACATGGTCAAGTATTAAAGCATTATGCCATTATTTACCCTTTTCAGATGTACAGAAAGGTCCCACGACCCTGACAGATTTCAAGGTCAAATATTTAAAATGTTATTTACCCTTTTCAGATGTACAGAAAGGTCCTACGACCCTGACAGATTCCATGGTAGAGTTGTAGCTTATCCATTTGAGGACCACAATCCACCGAGATTAGAGCTAATAAAACCCTTCTGTGAGGACCTGGATGAATGGTTGAAGAAAGACAAGGATAACATAGCAGCCATTCATTGTAAAGCAGGAAAAGTAAGCTGTTGTTATTATAGTCCCAATCTGTTTTACATTAACTTTGTCAGAGTTCTTGAAATATTATTTTATCAGGGCTTACAGTCATAAAATTTCGAGCACGATTATTGTACTCAGACTCAGAAATCAACCAATCAAAATACTGGATTTCGTGTTTCGAGCACAAATGTTGTACTCCCGAGAACTGAGTGAAGTTTTATGAATGAAAGGCCTGGTATTCTTTGAAGAAAATCTGCTGGTCCTCACTACTGTAAATTCAGACATTATTGCGTGCATTTATTTTTGTGATTCTTGACATGCCAAATTCATTATGACGATTTCCAGAAAATATGCATACAGTTAAATATGTATCGGATTTATATCAGAATACAAGTTCTGATAATTGCGATTCTCACCCAGTCACATTATTTACATTAGTAAAAACCTCACAATAATTTCTGAATTTACAGTATTATTTCTTTTGCAAAAAAACAAAATTGTGTTTGTTATTTGCATAATTTTGGTGGTCAAAACATGCAAAACCTTAGGACCACCACTTTCCAAGAACTATACCTTTTCCTTCTTTCTATTTTGTTCGTCTGTTCATCCATCAAATATTCCCATCACACTCGTCTTAGGTACTAATAAACCGAATGACATTATATTTGGTCAGCAGCTTGGTAGTGTGTTGTAAGGTGTGAGAACTCTTTGGATCTGTCCTATACCATGTATACCTACTTCTTGTTTATCGATAATTTTTTAGCAGGACAACATATGCATTCTGGTTTTACACTGATTTCAACAAATTCAACAATTAAAACCCAGAAATTCTGTACAGTGGAATTAAAATTCATAGCATTCTTTTTAAGTCAAAGCTAAGGCCTCGAAAAAAGACTGTTGGTTTACCCTAAGCCCTTTCAGACTGTTTTTACCGTTCGGGTCAATTTTTTACTGACGAAAAAAAAGAGCAAGAATCTTGTTTTGAGACAATTTTCAATGATGATTAAATTGTCTGATAATTTCTTAAAAGGTGTTCCATTTATCTTTCTTAAAAGTTTGAAAAAGCTTATATCACATTGTAGATCAAGATATAATGTCAAACAAAAGTTACTTTTCAAAAATTTCCCGTTGTTTAAGAAAAAATTCTCTGTTACAGGAAACTGTGTGTTCCTTTTTGTCGAGCCTTCGACTTTTGTCGAAAAAGCGAGACATAGCGATCCTAAATTCCGTCATCGTTGTTGTCGTCGCTGTTGTTGTTGTCGTCGGCGGCGTCCACAAATATTCACTCTGTGGTTAAAGTTTTTGAAATTTTAATAACTTTCTTAAACTATCTTGGATTTCTACCAAACTTGGACAGAAGCTTGTTTATGATCATAAGATAATATTCCAAAGTAAATTTTGTAAAAAAAAAATTCCATTTTATCTGTATTTTACTTATAAATGGACTTAGTTTTTCTGCCAGGAAACATTACATTCACTCTGTGGTTAAAGTTTTTGAAATTTTAATAACTTTATTAAACTGTCCTGGATTTCTACCAAACTTGGAAAGAAGCTTGTTTATGATCATAAGATAGTATCCAGAAGTAAATTTTGTAAAAAAAAAAATCCATTTTTTCCGTATTTTACTTATAAATGGACTTAGTTTTTCTGCCAGTTAACATTACATTCACTCTGTGGTTAAAGTTTTTAAAATTTTAACAACTTTCTTAAACTATCCTGGATTTGTACCAAACTTGGACAGAAGCTTGTTTATGATTAAAAGCTAGTATCTAGAAGGAAATTTATTTAAAATGTTGTTCCATTTTTTCCGTATTTTACTTATAAATGGACTTAGTTTTTCTTCCAGTTAACATTACATTCAGTCTGCAGTTTAAGTTTTTAAAACATTTATAGATTCATAAACTATCCTGGATTTTTACCAAACTTGGACAGAAGCTACTTACAATGAAAAGATAGTATAGAGAGGAATATTTTTATTAATTTTTTTCCTCATTTTTGTTGAGCCTGCGATTAACAGCAAAAGTAGGCGAGACACTAGGTTCCGCGGAACCATTACGAATTTTTTAAGAATAAAAATAAAATAAAAAGTTATTCCTGCTTGCCAATCTTTTAAAATTTGTTTGTGTATGGGGAATCCAGCATTTAATTTTCAATGGCCTAATGTCAACTGTTGAACCTACCTGAAAATACATAAATGTAAAAAGTAAAATAACAAAAATACCGAACTCCAAGGAAAATTCAAATCAGAAAGTCCCTTATCAAATGGCGAAAATCAAATGCTCAAACACATCAAACGAATGCAAAACAACTGTCATATTCCTGACTTGGTACCGGCATTTCCTTTTGTATAAAATGGTGGAAATATTATTTATAATTGCAGGGAAGAACTGGTGTTATGATATGTGCCTATATGTTACACAGAAACAAATTTGATAACTGTAAAGAAGCACTGCGGTTCTATGGCCAGGCACGAACACAGGATGAAAAGGTTTGCTGTATAATATGACAAATACTAAGATTACCTTGCTCAAAATTTCTCTCGAAAATGTATTATTCAAGTTTATACTGCAACTGTGCTATTTGCACAGTCAAATTGCATTGACCATGTATTCATTTGTGAATTTCATGGACTGTATTTCGCCTTGTTAGTGACGTTGATAATGTGTTTCTGTTTCAAGACTTTTATTTTTATGACATCAATAAGGGTACATGTTTGCTGAATTTTTAAGTCACATGCTTCAGTTTCAAAATTAATTGTTTTTACCCAAAATATTTCATTTAGAACAGTTGTAAATTTATGTAGCAGTATAAAGAGAACAAACATAGATTGTCTCAAAATATAAATTTATTTGTATTCGGCTTTAAAACAGGACAGAAATGCTCGATACAGCCTTGCATTCTACCTGTTCGTAAGCGTTGTACAAATAAATGTAAGCCTAATACAAATAAATGTTATCTTGTGAGACAATGTATTCTATTCATAGTGTATTATTTGAGTACAGGTCAGTGTATGTTGTACTTTCTGTCACTATCAAATTGAATACTGTAAGCTAAGTTTTGCCAGCGATTTACTTTCACTACTTTCACGAGTAGAAAAAGAACACCATTATGCATCACTGCCAATATGTAAAACTTGGAGCTTACCTTATATATGTATTCCAATTAGAAAACTGTGAAAACTTGGAGCTTACCTTATATAAATATTCCAATTAGAAAACTGTGAAAATAAATTGCCTCAAAATCAGCTAGAAAAGAGACTGGGGAAAGATACCAAAGGGACATTCAAACTCATAAGTCGAAAATAAACTGACAACTCCATGGCTAAAAAAGAAAAAGACCAAAAGACAAACAACAGTACACAAAACACGACATAGAAAACTAAAGACTGAGCAACAAGAACCCCACCAAAATCTGGGGGTGAGAAAGGGTTAAATGCAAAATAAAAGTATCAGTGAAAATAATTTGATTTGTAGTATTGCATATGTTCAGCAAAATTTTTTAAAATTCATCTCTGGTGAGCCATTAGTTATTACATACTACAAAAAAGTAACATTAAAAAGATATAAACAGGAATAATAAAAAAGAAGTGATATCATAGTCTTCATGGCCACATCAACCACTGAAACTTAGAAAACATACAAAGATAAACAACAATGAACAACACATTGTCCAGATAGCTGAATTTGATACAGGCACAAAATGTTGTAGGTTAAACCAGGTGGACAATCCTCCCGTTGTAGATCAAATGTTGTGAAACTAAAACACACTAAAAAAACGGCGTCGTCGTCCGAATACACATTAGTTTTCGCACTCTAACTTTAGTTTAAGGGAATGGATCTCATTGAAATTTTACCATAAGGTTCAATACCACAAAAGGAAGGTGGGGATTGATTTTGGGGGTTATGGTACTAACAGTTAAGGAATTAGGGGCCAAAAGGGGCCAAAAATAAGCATTTTTGTAACTTCCAGACATAACTTGTGTGTAAGTGTATGGATCTCTCTGACATTGTACCACAAGGTTCCATATCACAAAGGGAATGCTGGGATTGATTTTGGGGGTAATTGTCTCCAAATTTTAGGAATTAGGGGCCAAAAAGGGGCAAAAAACAAGCATTTTTCTAGTTTCATGACAATAACTTGTTTGTAAGTGTATGGATCTTTATGAAATTGTACTACAAGGTTCCATATCACAAAGGGAAGGCTGGGATTGAGTTTGGGGGTAATTGCCCTAAACGTTTAGGAATTTGGGGCCAAAAAGGGGCCAAAAAACAAGCATTTTTCTAGTTTCCAGACAATAACTTGTGTTCAAGTGTATGAATCTCTCTGAAATTGTGCTGCAAGGTACCATACCACAAAGGGAAAGCTGGGATTGAGTTTGGGGGCGATGAATCATAAGGGGGTTCAAAAAATTGGGGGGGGGGGGGATTTTTTTTTTCCTTTTTTTTCTTTAACATTTTCCATTTTAAATTGGTTATTTCTGATTTATATATAAAAGCAAATAATAATGATATGGTTTGAATAGGCATACATGTGAACCTCCCGACGGGAGTACAATAATCCCGTTTTCAGGGGTCTCCTCCCCCCCTCCCGTTGAAAAAATCCCGTGTATGAAATTTTTCATGAATGAAAAATTTCTGCCCAACATAACATCTCAGGCATCTGGTGTAACTGACATTACCTGAAGTTATATTTTACCTGTAAATCAATTAACATGCATAATTATATGGCTTCACTTGTCAGCTTGGGTGTCAAACATACTGGTAAGCAACGATTTTTACCTCAGGCTAACTGCCATTGTGTAACAAAAACTGTGTATTTATCCTGTTTTAAGTTACTTTCCTTTTAATAATGAAAATTTTTAAAAGAATATAAATAAAATATAAATTGAACAAATAATCATAAAAGGATGGTTATTAAATGATTTTAAATGTCATAGGACAAATAAAAAAATAATAATTTGAAAATTATTTGAGGATTCTATACTTCCTTTTAAGGCTTAAATTGAAATTTATATAATAACTATGACCCTAACTTTACAGATAGAATGAATTTCTGAGTTTGCAAATAAAAACTATTTGCAAGAGAAAAAAAAATAAAATAAAAACTATTTGCAGACAGCTAAACAAATGTTCTGGTTGCAATGATTGTTTTATAGAATATGAAGTAAAAAATTTAAAGAACATACTGGAAAAAAACAATGTTAGATTGAACATGTAGAATATAAAGATGGAGAAACTTTATAAGTACAAGGGTACTATAAACATAATAAATTGGTTGGAAAGTTGAAGAAAACACACTTTAAAAGACCATTTTTACAGCACACGGTTACATTTACAACAAAATTAATGTCGATTAAAAACCTCCTGATCTGAGTCCTAATCTCCTGACCAAAATTTCCCAATCTCCTGATCTGAGTTTCACAGTCCATCACATGTATGAATAGGTAAATTGAAAATTTTTAAGTTCTTAGACCACTTTCATTCTGTGTCAGAAACCTATGCTGTGTCAAATATTTAATCACAATCCAAATTCAGTGCTGTATCAAGCTTGAATGTTGTGTCCATACTTGCCCCAACTGTTCAGGGTTCGACCTCTGCGGTCGTATCAAGCTGCGCCCCAGCGGAGCATTTTATTATTTATTTCGTAGGTATAGGTTTATAACCACCCTTCAATTCAAATGTTTAATGTAGTAGAAATTTTCTAGAGTCTTGTTTGCAGATGTTGGTAAAACCACAAAATCGAATATCCACAAAAATTACAAACTTTCCTCAATCCATGGAAATTGGTATCCATGAAAATAAATCATTGTTTTCATTCGTTTGTTCTTTTGTTCATTTGTTTGTTCCTTCCTCTGCACTTTGTATTCATTTATAACCCCTCCTTAAAAAGAAAGACTAGATTTCAAGGAAAATTCTCAAACTTTTAAGTATTGAATGACAGTGTTCACCTGTGAATTGCTATTAATTTTTATACGACCGCAAAAAAATTTTTGTGGTCGTATATTGGTATGACGTTGGCGTCGTCGTCGTCGTCGTCGTCGTCCGGCGTCGTCCTGCGTCGTCCGAAGACACATTGGTTTTCGCACTCTAACTTTAGTTTAAGTGAATGGATCTTTATGAAATTTTACCACAAAGTTCAATACCACAAAAGGAAGGTTGGGATTGATTTTGGGGGTTATGGTAATAACAGTAAAGGAATTAGGGGCCAAAAAGGGGCCAAAAATAAGCATTTTTGTAACTTCCAGACATAACTTGTGTGTTAGTGTATGGATCTCTCTGACATTGTACCACAAGGTTCCATATCACTAAAGGAATGCTGGGATTGATTTTGGGGGTAATTGCCTCCAAGTTTTAGGAATTAGGGGCCAAAAAAGGGGCAAAAAACAAGCATTTTTCTAGTTTCATGACAATAACTTGTGTGTAAGTGTATGGATCTTTCTGAAATTGTACTACAAGGTTCCATATCACAGAGGGAAAGCTGGGTTTGAGTTTGGGGGTAATTGCCCTAAACGTTTAGGAATTTGGGGCCAAAAAGGGGCCAAAAAACACATGTTTTTCTAGTTTCCAGACAATAACTTGTATTCAAGTGTATGGATCTGTCTGAAATTGTACTGCAAGGTACCATACCACAAAGGGAAGGCTGGGATTGAGTTTGGGGGTGATGAATCATAATGGGGGTTCAAAAAATTTTGGGGGGGGATTTATTTTTTTTTCCTTTTTTTTCTTTTTTTCCTTTTTTGTTTCTTTTAAAATTTTCCATTTTAAGTTGGTTATTTCTGATTTATATTTAAAATCAAATAATAATGATATGGTAGGAGATACACACCAAACAGGATGTGTAAATTATTATATAATAAGTATTGTGCAATAGCAAAAAATTTTCAATTGCACAGTATTGCACAATAGCAAGAAATCTTCAATTGCACAGTATTGCGCAATAGCAAGAAATCTTCAATTGCACAGTATTGCGCAATAGCAAGAAATATCCAATAGCACAATATTGCGCAATAGCAAGAAATTGTCAATTGTACAGTATTGCGCAATAGCAAGAAATATTTAATAGCACAGGATTGTGCAAAAGAAGATACTTCCTATAAATTGCTTATTTCTTGACCAATTTCAATGGGGTTTTATTCTTGATTTCATGGGGTTCTTTAATATGCTGAATCTAACCATGTATTTAGTTTTTGGATTTTGGGCCCCGTTTTTAAATTGGTCCACATTGAGGTCCAAAGGGTCCAAAATTAAACTTTGTTTGATTTCATCAAAAATTGAATTATTGGGGTTCTTTGATATGCCGAATCTAACTGTGTATTTAGATTCTTAAATTTTGGTTCCGTTTTCAAATTGGTCTACATTAAGGTCCAAAGGGTCCAAAATTAAACTTAGTTTGATTTTAACAAAAATTGAATTCTTAGGGTTCTTTGATATGCTGAATCTAAACATGTATTTAGATTTTTGATTATGGGCCCAGTTTTCAAGTTGGTCCAAATCGGGGTCCAAAATTAAACTTTGTTTGATTTCAACAAAATTGAATATATGGGGTTCTTTGATATGCTGAATCTAACCATGTATTTAGATTTTTGATTTTTGGGCCCCGTTATCAACTTTGTCCACATTGAGGTCAAAAGGGTCCAAAATTAAACTTTGTTTGATTTCATCAAAAATTGAATTATTGGGGTTCTTTGATATGCCGAATCTAACCGTGTATTTAGATTCTTAATTTTTGGTTCCGTTTTCAAATTGGTCTACATTAAGGTCCAAAGGGTCCAAAATTAAACTTAGTTTGATTTTAACAAAAATTGAATTCTTAGGGTTCTTTGATATGCTGAATCTAAACATGTATTTAGATTTTTGATTATGGGCCCAGTTTTCAAGTTGGTCCAAATCGGGGTCCAAAATTAAACTTTGTTTGATTTCAACAAAAATTGAATATATGGGGTTCTTTGATATGCTGAATCTAACCATGTATTTAGATTTTTGATTTTTGGGCCCCGTTATCAACTTTGTCCACATTGAGGTCAAAAGGGTCCAAAATTAAACTTTGTTTGATTTCATCAAAAATTGAATTATTGGGGTTCTTTGATATGCCGAATCTAACCGTGTATTTAGATTCTTAATTTTTGGTTCCGTTTTCAAATTGGTCTACATTAAGGTCCAAAGGGTCCAAAATTAAACTTAGTTTGATTTTAACAAAAATTGAATTCTTAGGGTTCTTTGATATGCTGAATCTAAACATGTATTTAGATTTTTGATTATGGGCCCAGTTTTCAAGTTGGTCCAAATCGGGGTCCAAAATTAAACTTTGTTTGATTTCAACAAAAATTGAATATATGGGGTTCTTTGATATGCTGAATCTAACCATGTATTTAGATTTTTGATTTTTGGGCCCCGTTATCAACTTTGTCCACATTGAGGTCAAAAGGGTCCAAAATTAAACTTTGTTTGATTTCATCAAAAATTGAATTCTTGGGGTTCTTTGATATGCTGAATCTAACCATGTATTTAGATTTTGGATATTGGACCATAATAGGTGAATGTCCAATTTAAAATTTTTAAGTTCTTAGACCACATTCAATCTGTGTTAGAAACCTATGCTGTGTCAAATATTTAATCACAATCCAAATCCAAAGCTGTATCAAGCTTGAATGTTGTGTCCATACTTCCCCCAACTGTTCAGGGTTCGACCTCTGCGGTCGTATCAAGCTGCGCCCTGCGGAGCATTTTATTTAATCCTTATAATTTTTTGGGGTTTCCTATACCAAAACATGGACTTTTCCTTATCTATACATGCTATACCCTATACAGGAGAAATAGTATTAATTTATGAGCCCTGCTCACAGTTTGTCTAGTTAAGATACTGTTTCAGAAATTTATGCTGTTAAATACTGTGTCAGAAGTTAGTTGAACATGTTGACTAGAACAAAAAGATTTGACAAAACACCCAGATGTTTCATTTGTTTGAAAATTTCTTAGAACCTTCTGTATATAATGCAATTGTTCATCTATGAAGTTTTTGGGTCTGAATTATATTTGGTATGCAGCAAAACATGGACTGGAAATACAATTTTTTATGGCCCACCTACGATAGATGAGGAGTCATTATGTTTTTCGGTCTGTGCGTCCGTTTGTTTGTCCGTCCGTTCAACCGTCTGTCTCGCTTCAGGTTAAAGTTTTTGGTCAAGGTAGTTTTTGATGAAGTTGAAGTCCAATCAACTTAAAACTTTGTACACATGTTCCCTATGATATGATCTTTCTAATTTTAATGCCAAATTAGAGTTTTGACCCCAATTTCATGGTCCACTGAACATAGAAAATGATAGTGCGAGTGGGGCATCCGTGCACTATGGACACATTCATGTTTCAATTATATCAGTAAAATACAATTCCAATAGACTTTAGTTAGTAGTAGTTTTCTACTGTTTTCTTTTAACGTGATCACATGATATGTAATTGTAAAGTTGCCTTAATTTTAATTGTATATTTGTACATTTCAGGGAGTAACCATTCCTAGCCAGAGACGCTACGTAGAATACTATGAATATTTAATTAGAAACAAATTAGATTACAAGCCAGTAGCATTGTTGTTAAAAGGCATAGAATTTATAACAGTTCCCATGCATAATGGAAGTGGATGTTGTAAGTGAAATCATAGATATAGGATATATAAATATGTAAATAAGGAGGCGTGGTATAATTTCCTATGAAAAAACTATCAGCCTCAGAACAAAAGGGTGAGAATATAAACAATTGCAGGTCACCAAAAACAACATAAAAAACTAAATACTGGCCATTTCGAATCAAAAACTTAACAGTGATCTCAAGTGCTCTGGAAGAGTAAGCAAATCCTGCTCCAAATGTTCCTGTTAGTTTTAAGCTTTAAAACAGAAAACCTTTTTTTGTAACAGATTAAAAGTGATTGATTTGCAAACTATATATTAAATAAACTATTTGTAAACTGGCTTAAAATTGAGATAGTCTTAGGAAAGACGTGAACCTTTTAAATTCATGTTGAAATTTATACATGTTGTGTGGGGTGTACCAGAAAAAAAAAAACAATTTATTCAAATACCAAAATGTATATTGGAAATGCACAATAAAAATTCAACCCATTTTTAACTGGATTTTCAAAGGAAAAATCAGTTATTGATTTGGGGATGTAAGGCAGGCGGGCGGGGGCCAAACAGTGTCCGTTCATTAACATGCATAAGCTTTGACAAATTTTTTTCAAATTTTGATATGTTGTTTCCTGTGACTAAATGAAGGTCAAGTTCAATTTTTACAATTTTAGCTTCTCTCGTTTTTGTCGAGCCTGCGACTTTTGTCGCAGAAAGCTCGACATAGGGATAGTGATCCGGCGGCGGCTACGGCGGCGGCGGCGTTAGCTAACTTCTTAAAAGCTTTATATTTTAGAAGGTGGAAGGTCTGGATGCTTCATACTTTGTATATGGATGCCTCATGTTACGAAGTTTCTGTCAGTCACATGTCCAATGTCCTTGACCTCATTTTCATGGTTCAGTGACTACTTGAAAAAAAAGTTCAGATTTTTTGTAATGTTAGATTCTCTCTTATTATAAGTAATAGGATAACTCTATTTGGTATGTGCGTACCTTGCAAGGTCCTCATGCCCGTCAGACAGTTTTCACTTGACCTCGACCTCATTTCATGGATCAGTGAACAAGGTTAAGTTTTGGTGGTCAAGTCCATATCTCAGATACTATAAGCAATAGGTCTAGTATATTCGGTGTATGGAAGGACTGTAAGGTGTACATGTCCAACTGGCAGGTGTCATCTGACCTTGACCTCATTTTCATGGTTCAGTGGTTATAGTTAAGTTTTTGTGTTTTGGTCTGTTTTTCCTATACTGTATGCCATAGGTCTACTATATTTGGTGTATGGAATGATTGTAAGGTGTACATGTCTAGCGGGCAGGTGTCATCTAACCTTGACCTCATTTTCATTGTTCAGTGGTCAAAGTTAATTTTTTGAGTTTTGGTCTTTTTTTCTAATACTATATGCAATAGTTCAACTATATTTGGTATGTGCGTACCTTGCAAGGTCCTCATGCCCGTCAGACAGTTTTCACTTGACCTCGACCTCATTTCATGGATCAGTGAACAAGGTTAAGTTTTGGTGGTCAAGTCCATATCTCAGATACTATAAGCAATAGGTCTAGTATATTCGGTGTATGGAAGGACTGTAAGGTGTACATGTCCAACTGGCAGGTGTCATCTGACCTTGACCTCATTTTCATGGTTCAGTGGTTATAGTTAAGTTTTTGTGTTTTAGTCTGTTTTTCCTATACTGTATGCCATAGGTCTACTATATTTGGTGTATGGAATGATTGTAAGGTGTACATGTCTAGTGGGCAGGTGTCATCTGACCTTGACCTCATTTTCATGGTTCAGTGGTCAAAGTTAAGTTTTTGAGTTTTGGTCTTTTTTTCTAATACTATATGCAATAGTTCAACTATATTTGGTATGTGCGTACCTTGCAAGGTCCTCGTGCCCGTCACACAGTTTTCACTTGACCTCGACCTCATTTCATGGATCAATGAACAAGGTTAAGTTTTGGTGGTCAAGTCCATATCTCAGATACTATAAGCAATAGGTCTAGTATATTCGGTGTATGGAAGGACTGTAAGGTGTACATGTCCAACTGGCAGGTGTCATCTGACCTTGACCTCATTTTCATGGTTCAGTGGTTATAGTTAAGTTTTTGTGTTTTGGTCTGTTTTTCTTATACTGTATGCCATAGGTCTACTATAGTTGGTGTATGGAATGATTGTAAGGTGTACATGTCTAGCTGGCAGGTGTCTTCTGACCTTGACCTCATTTTCATGGTTCAGTGGTCAAAGTTAAGTTTTTGAGTTTTGGTCTTTTTTTCTAATACTATATGCAATAGGTCATCTATATTTGTTGTATGGAAATATTTTATGATGTACCTGTCAGTCTTGCAGGTTTTATTTGACCTTGACCTCATTTTCACAGTTCATTGCTCAGTGTTAAGTTTTTGTGTTTTGGTCTGTTTTTCTAATACTATAAGCAATAGGTCAACTATATTTGTTGTATGGAAGGATTGCAAGCTGTAGTACATGTCTGCCTGGCATTGTTCATCTGACCTTGACCTCATTTTCTTTGTTCATTGGTCAATGTTTAGTTTTCTTGGTTAAGTCTGTATCTTAGAAACTATAAACAATAGGTCAACTATATTTAGTGTATTGAATGATTGTTAGGTGTACATGTATTTCTTGTTTGGTTTATATGACCTTGACCTCATTTTCTTGGATCATGTTAAGTGTATGTGATAGTTGTAGTAAAGCTTTATATTTAGGACTATCAACATAATATCAATGATTAGTAAAGAAGGCGAGACATTTCAGCGTGTGCACTCTTGTTTCTAATACTATATGCAATAGGTCAACTATAAATGGTGTATGGAAATATTTTATGATGTTCATGTCGGTCTCACAGGTTTTATTTGACCTTGACCTCATTTTCACGGTTCATTTCTCAGTGTTAAGTTTTGTGTTTTGGTCTGTTTTTCTTCAACTATAAGCAATAGATCAACTATATTTGATGTATGGAAGGATTGTAAGGTGTATATGTCTGTCTGGCAGGTATCATCTGACCTTGACCTCATTTTCATGGTTCATTAGTTAATGTTAAGTTTTCGTGGTTAAGTTTGTTTCTTAGATACTATAAGCAATAGGTCAACTATATTTAATGCCTAAATTGATTGTAAGGTGTACATGTCTGTCTGGCATGGTTCATCTGACCTTGACCTCATTTTCATGGTTCATTGGTCAATGTTAAGTTTTCTTGTTTAAGACTGTTTCTTAGAAACAATAAGCAATAGGTCAACTATGTTTGGTTTATTGAATGATTGTAAGGTGTACATGTATTTCGTGTTTGGTTTATCTTGACCTCATTTTCTTGGATCATGTTACCGTAGAAAGGCTTGTATAGTCCGCAGTTTTATTCTCCAAAATTGGATCTTCCAGACAGAGTGCGGACTATAGAGTACAATAAGCAAGAAATAAGAGAAAAATTTCAATTTCGGGGGCGAGGTGGTTAGTTTACGTTCCGCCATCTTTGTTATTTATATTGTAGAGGGCGCTCATCATTTTTCAAACTAATAATTTTAACTCATCCATATTAATAAGTTATTTCTATTCAATATCAAATTAATACTGATAAATATAAAAACTAAACCTTTCATTACAAATTTCTCGTTTCTTTTTAATGCATTGGTTGAAATAAACTGGTATCTGCTTGATTGAAACGATACAAACATAGTGAAAAAGACAACCGTAAACCAGCTTAGAATTTGTAAACTACAAAACGTAATCGATTATTGTTCGTTCCATTTTGGTGTTTTATACTGACTAATATGGTTTGTATTAGCTTAAGACCCTTCAAACATTAATGTGATAGATATATTAAAGACTGTTTTACAAAAGGATGGAAGGGGCCTCGGTGGCCGAGTGGTCTAAGTAGTTACTACTGTAATCACTAGCCAGTCAACACTGAGGTTGTGAGTTCGAACCCCGCTCGTGCCGGTGCACTCTACTCCAATCTTAATTGACTAGGATTGTCAGTTTTCCTATCGAAGGTCGGTGGTTTTCTCCGGGTACTCCGGCTTCCTCCACCAATAAAAACTGGCCGCCACGAAATAGCCCAAAAGCGGTGTTTAAAAGTGGCGTTAAAACACCAAAAATCAATCAATCAATCAAAAGGATGGAACTGTTTTACTTTCAAAGTCGTACTATAGTGATATCTGTTATGTACGGATTTCGACTCTCACCGGTTAGTTTCTTCTTTTACACGTGCTTTTTAAACTTCCTGTTTAAACATACACTAGTTTCTAAACTGTTTTTTAAGTGAATTAAACTTATTTTAACAATCATGAAGCGTTCTAGAATCATTTACAAGCAGTTTCAGCTTCTGTTTGATGATGGAAAACAGGTTTTCCCAAGAAAATACCGCAAACGACCGCACAGGATTTGAAATTACCGGAGTTTCATTAGACCTTTTCTAACAGTTACAAAAAGTTTTTTTACCTAAAATTTCGTGGGGAGAAGGGGGTGGGGACTATGTAGCAGTGCGAACTATACAAGTTTATGTGTTACTTGTAGTAAAGCTTTGTATTTAGGACTATCAACATAAAATCAATGGTTAGTAAAGAAGGCCTGACATTTCAGCATGTGCACTCTTGTGCCCTTATGGCATTAAGGTTTATCCTTGTCCGTCTGTACGTACGTCCCAAAGTTGGTTTCCGTTCTCTAACTTTAGTTTGCCTCAACCAAATGTTATGAAACTTATACACAATGCTTATTACCACCAAACACAGATCAAGTTTGAATTTTGGTGGCGTCACTTTAATCGTTCTAGAGTTATGCCCCTTTACAAATGGAAAAATTGCTGAATTTTTCGTTTTCCGTTCTCTAACTTAAGTTTGCCTCAACCAAATGCTATGAAACTTATACACAATGCTTATTACCACTAAATAAAGATCAAGTTTGAATTTTGGTGGTGTCACTGTTACTGTTCTAGAGTTATGCCCCTTTACAAATGGAAAAATTGCTGAATTTTTCGTTTCCGTTCTCTAACTTAAGTTAAACTCAACCAAATGTTATGAAACTTATACAAAATGCTTATTACCACCAAACACAGATCAAGTTTGAATTTTGGTTGCGTCACTTTAACCGTTCTAGAGTTATGCCCCTTTCCAAAGGGAAAAATTGCTGAATTTTTCGTTTTCCGTTCTCTGACTTAAGTTTGCCTCAACCAAATGTTATGAAACTTATACACAATACTTATTAAAGCAAAGCTCAGATCAAGTACAAATTTGGGTAGCGTCCCTTTTACCGTTCTTCAGTTATGTCCCTTTATAACTTTATATGATATGCAAGCGGGGGCATCATCTGTGTCCCATGGACACATTCCCCATTTATTTTCCTTTGAATTGTTTTACATTTTGTCATGTCGGAGCCTTATGTAACTTACTATATTATATCAGTTTGCTCATTGTTGAAGCTCGTACAGTGACCTATAGATGCTTACATCTATGTCATTTGGTGATTTGATAGATAGTTGTCACTTTGGCAAATATATCACATTTTCTTATTTCTAAATTAAGAGTCCTCTGTATTAACACTGCAAATTGAAGCTTCTTAGCAAGAATTGGTTTATTTGTGTATATTTTACATAAGCCTGGTTGATGTGTTTTTTTCTTGGAAAAGAAAGAATATGATTATTAATTCTGGACACAAAATACCTACACATGCTGAACTTCAACTAGTTTATTGGGTCAAAATGTCAATAAATAAATCACCTGCTCTCATTTTGACATTTAATTTTTCTCAAATAAAGACAAAATTATTTTGAAAAACACAGAGTTGATTTTGCGATTACTATTTATGATTGTGACCTTTTTAAAACTGAGAAAAAAGTAAATATGTAAGTTGATAAAACGTGTCCCTCACATTCTTTATTTTTTTACCCTTTAATAAAAAATGTCAAAGGTTACACAGTTGCTTAATTTTAATTTCACTAAGATAAAAACATAATTTGTACTCATAATTGAAAACTTAGGTCCTGCCCCACCCCCGAAAATTTAAAAATAAAATTGTAGTTTACAGACTTATTTTTATAGCAAATGTTTAACCAATGAGATCATAATGATCATTGCCAGCAATTTCTGTATCTATTTTCAGCTCCGTTTTTTGAAGTATATCAACTTAAGGTGCGAGTATACACATCAAAAGTTTACGAAGACATCAAAAAGGGACAAACATCGTTTTACATGCCCATAGAACAGTCAGTACCACTGTGTGGTGATATCAAAGTTGTATTTTATAATAAACCAAGAATGAAAAAGAAGGTAGGTTTCACTGGGTATAGTTTTACATGCTTTTAGAATAGTTTGTACATCTGTTTGATGATGATAGGGTTGTATTTTGTAATAATTACATTACATGTATGTTTCACTTTGGCACAATCATGCGTCATTCAAAATGTGCTTTGGTCAACACTTTTACACCCCAATAAAATTACAAAAAGAAGTATTCATTTCTTAATTAAATTGCAAATGAAGTGGTAGGTTTCAATAGAAGAAATGACCTGAAATATAGACCATGTTCTTCTTTCTAAGGGCTATAGCAAAATGAAAAAATAAATGAAGGGGTATGAATAAAATCTCAATTTTCTTGTTAAATTTTTATGGATGGTTGGTGTGAGAAGAAAGTTCCATCCAACCTCCATCTCATTCTCTCTCCGCAATAATAAATCTCTGGCATAGCTCTTACAGCAAGATTTAAATGTTGTTATGAATAAGAGGAGATGTGAGGTTCATTTCATTATACCCCCGCTTTAAAGAAGTGGGGGTATACTGTATTACCTCTGTCCATCCGTCCATCCGTCCATCAGTCAGTCCCATGAATATTTTTCGTCGCATTTTTCTCAGGTACTACATTACAAGGATTTCTGAAATTTGGTTTCAAGGTTTATATGAGTGAGCTGTACTGTGTGATGCATTTTCAGATTCATCACTCAACACTTCCTGTTTACCGCACACTTACATATTTTTATACTATTAAAATTATCCATGTTTGGGCGGGGGTATCATCAGTTAGCAGTAGCTCGCAGTTTCACTTGTTGAGATAGCAATTCAATGACACTATAAAAATCAAAAGAAATCTAGAAGTCAACAGCAGTCTTCAACAATAGATAAAATGTTTTTGCAATATGGTAAGCTCTTGATCACTTTAAGTCTGGAAAAGTTGTGAATAAATTGTCATTTTTTATCTGACCAGAATTCTATTTATATTCCAAAAAAAGGACAATAAAACTGAATAATAAATGTAGTAAAATAATTCCAAAAAATTTCATTGCAATGAAATACCTTGATTTCCCGGTCAAATTAAAGGCTATTTCAGGTGAGAATTAATTTATTTTCATACTCCTGACGTCATTACAATAGGTGTTGTCAAGATGTGTCAATGAAGCTGCATCAACATGAAGCGAGAATGTGTAGAACGAGAGATTTTTCCAAGCATTTTGTATTTTAATTTCATTAAAAGTCAATGCTATAAATCTTAAAACTAGTCCCAGAATGTGTATGTCGGTAAATAGAATTCAAAATGAGTGAATGAATGTCACATTAATTCACTGATGTACATATCTGTTTAATAATATAAATAAAAAGCTAATTTTGAAAATGTGAGTTTTTTGCTGTTTTTGACAGGTCACCTTTGCAAAGGTACGGAATTGCATTGTGAAATATATACACATAAATCATATAAGGGTCTTGAATACCTTTTGTTCTTTTTTGTGTATTTAGTATGAAGATATGTATTTGAAGGGCCCACACTGTTTATAGTTTTATTTTCTTCTGTTTACCAATGCCTACTGCTTTTTATGAACATGCATAATTTAACTAAGTTTCTTTAGTTAGTTCTGATATTATATGTATATGCAGTTTTCTTACAATGTAGATTGAACTAATGCTCTTGACGAAAATTATTAAATTTATCTCTTAGTATTAGAAACAATATTTGAAACTTGTCTACTAAATATATGAATGATTGTCTTATTAACTAGATCTGAAAGCTATTGAATGAGATAGAAATTGGTCACATTTAGAAATATACTGGTCTCCCCCTCTCTTTATTTGGATAGAATAAAATTGGGCAGGTACCAGTAATTTTTTCCGTCTGAACAACTTTTGATTATGAAGCTTTGTGTTTGGTTACTTTCATCAGGTATGGCCGATACCAAAAGTAAGGGCCAAATAATTGAGACTTGTATATGAAACACCCAAGCACTTAAGTCCACCCAAACATTCTTTGGTCAAGTTTCCTTTCAGGAGCAGCAGTTGATAGTTAAAATAAGATTACATATTTTATCACCTCAGAATTAAGTTAAAATGTGTCTTCGCAGGAAACATTTTTCAGTTACAAACATTTTTCTGAATTTATTTGCCAGTAAGTGAGACTAGCCTGTATATTTATGCTTTTTTCGATTTTGCCATAAGAGTATTCATAGTGGCAACACACAATTAAATGTTTATATATAAATATATACATAGCTGTGTAAATACATGTACCTTATTCAATTGTCTACATCATATTACAACTTTATTTTGAATTTATTTTTTTATCGCTGGATTTGTTCAAGCCTGTTATGTCCACAAAATTTATTTTGCATTTGTTTAGCATCGATCAAACCACCAGCATATTTTCTTCAAATAATTTTGTGTACATCAAATGGACATACAACAATAAATGACCTGCAATCCACATCCAAAACAAAATTGACCTCCCCCCCCACCCCTCCCCCATTTCATTTTAAAGAATCGATGTAATGGTTAGTTTGAGTGTGGAAAATCACAACTCTATAACTAAACTGAAACCTTAAAAGTAATTTCAATGGTATTTTTAAGCAGAGTGTGTTATTCTCTTAAAGCATGTATTATTTAAAGAGTATATATATTTTAATTTTCAGTTCAGTTTCACTATATTTAATATGGATTCTGTTGGGGTGAATATTGTGTGCTATATTTAGTATATATATGTAATCTTAAAGAAACGGACCGATAAATCGGCAGAACATCACCGGTTTTGATTTTCAACTGGCACTACTAATTGGCTGACCTTGTCCTCAGTCATGACCTAGGTCTATATAAGTATTAGAGGGAGATATGATATGGATAGACGTAAATACTGCTAGATTTTGCAGATAATTTCTTTGCCAGTAGTCTTGTCAACCCATGGTGTATTAAACATTAGTTTATTTTAAGTACTGTAAATTCAGAAATTATTGCGATGTTTTTATTATTGCGAAAAATGCAACAGGGTTATAATCGCAATAATTTAAACTCGCATTTTGAAATTTTTTATATGAATTGAACAGGATTTTTCTCAATATCGCAAAAATTAAAATCGCATTTTAGTCAAAAATGACAAAATCGCAATAATAAATGCACACATTAATTTCTGAATTTACAGTATATGTACTATGAACTTATAGACATTTCTGATGAACTGTAGGAACTTGTAACTATTCCAAGACAGAAAACACATTAAGACAACAGGAAAACATTTGAGCTAGATAGTTTATCAATGCGGGTGACTTTTTATAGATAGCTGCATTAAAGCTTTTGTGCAGTATTGTAAAATTCTTCAAAAATCAGAGAGAACTACAGGTATTTCTTGAACTGTTTTTCAGAAATTATCGAAGTCTGATTATGTTTACTAATTTTAGAAGTGCAAATTCTTTGAGACTTTCATAGTTGATGGGTTTGGTTCAAGATAACGAGCGGTTTGACATAGATTTTCTCTAATCGTTGAAGACTTTATCTTGGGGCCTAAATTAATTTGTTTCTCAAAACTCTCATCTTTCCTCTGCCAATGATTGTGATTGGAATTAACCTTTACTAAATATAGAGAAAGTTGCACTAATTCCAATGGAAACAATAAAATACTTTTTTTAGCTGGACCCTACCTCTTCTCATGACAGACATTAGACTAATGTTATGGTTGAGGACAATGACAGCTCTACACTAACCAAAAAACAAAAGCATATTTTTGATATTAGCAATTTTGTCAATATGCGTACATGCTGATAAAGAGCAATTGTATACTGATCATTAAAGAAACACACCACTTCCATGGGATTATGAAATATTATGATAACCACAAAATAATATTAATACAGCCAGTAAAATTCATATACTGTGGATTCATAATTATTCTTGGGATAGCAATTTTCGTGAATTTCATGGGTAAGGGTAAACCACAAATTTAAATGTTCAAAGAAGTACAAACTTCATATATATGCTTGTATGCAGACTTTTGCATAACCAAGAAATCAAATATCCACCACAATGCAATTTTTCCTGAATCCATGAAAATTGGTATCCAAGGAAACAAAATGAATCTGCAATAGTTTAAAGGTTATTGTGTGCTCTGGTTGTTAGTTAATTATTGTGGATTCATTTATTTTCATGGGTACCAATTTTCGTGGATTAAGGAAAACTTGCATATTCATGGATATTTAATTTCATGGTTTTGCCAAAGTCTGCATACAAGCCTATAGAAAAGTTGTCATTCGTTGAAAATTTAATTTTGTGGTTCCCCTGTAACCACGAAATCCACGAAAACTGGTATCCAACGAAAAATAATGAATCCACAGTATTCAGTATTGTCCCATATTTTAAAATATGAAAACTGTTGTGTTTCTTTTGAAAATCGGTAAATTGTCATTTAGGTGATTTTCAGTTTGAAATTCATAGGATTAAATAAAAGTGTGTACCTCTTTATAGGCTTTTGAAATATGAATGTGTCCAATCAAATGCATGGCTTCGTCCTGAGTTTTAATGTTTATGCTAAGATCCTGGTTTTGCTTTCCATTATTCAACATGAATTGAAAGCTTAATGGTAATATTTCTGCAGAATGTTATCGAAATTTAGATGTTTGTTCTGAAAATGTTTTATTCCATTAAAACTATGATTTTGTCAAATTATGTATAATATGTTTTATGTGATGAAGCCAGATGGAGTCCTTTTGAGAGTAGTACTAGTAGAAAATGTACTGTTCATTCATTTATATCCTTGGGGTATCAATTTTTGTGGGTAGGGGGAAACCCTGAATTCAAATACTTGATTAAGAAATAATTCTTTCATGTCATGCTCTATGCTCATTTTAACATGGGAAGGCATTATATTTGTCAATATCTTTATACTGAGTGTTAGCGAGGTGTAAAATGTTGAAAAATATAATGCCTACCCATTTTGAAGTGAGCATAGAGCATGACATGATAGAATTATTTCGATTCTAATAGGAAAATTTAGAACTTTTGTACTGAGAATTGGACCCATAATACATGTTCAAAAGGCAGTCATTTTGATTTGATGAAGCCAAAACATAACAGAAAATCAAATGTTTAAAAAACGATTAAAAAAATGAACAAATACATGTAAACTTACTTTTAGAATGATTTTATCTATTATCTAATTTCCTAGTGGCAACACCAACAAAAATGCCCATTTTGATCTCCGGTGTTGTTCAAAATACAACTGACGTTGCAATTTCAATTGTGATGTCAATCATGTGCAGCCCATCGTTCTTTTGGAATTAGAACATGGCTTTGTTTCCAAAGCGAAAGAAGATCGTCATATTAGAATGAAATACAAATGTTTTGTTTTTTTGAAATGAGGTTAAAAAAAAAAAAACTAACAAAATTAGATTCTGTCAAAATAGCAATTTTGTTCTCCAACAACAACAGTAGATACCACAAAAATAAATGAATCCACAGTAATTATTCATTAATTAAATTTGTGCATAATGTAATATGGCTAGTTGGTGTATATTTATTAGTTCAGTAAAATTATAGGTCAGCTAAAGCAGAATACAAGAGATAAATTAGCTAGCAAAATTATATTTTATATTTTGTTATCAAAACTCAACAAAGATACAAGGCCTTTAATTTTACAAGCAAGACACAAGTTTCATCTTCATAAGACTCATCTGTGACCCTCAAATCAAAACAGTTGAAACACAAAATCAAATATGAAGTTTAAGAGCATGAAAATTGATGTCATATAATAAGGTCATTTGTATGCTCAAAGGGAGACAAATCTGGTTAAGGATCGTTTGACTCTGGCTTGTTCAAGATCCAATACTAGTGACCAAGGATATAATAATGGGGATGCATTATTTTCGTGGGAACTAATTTTCATGGTTTGAGGAAAACTCAATTTTTGTTGATATTTGATATTATGGTTTTGCCAAAGTCTGCATACAAGCCTATAGAAAATATGTACTTAGTTGAACATTTAAATTTTTGGATAACCTTATCCACAAAATCCACGAAAATTGGTATACCACGAATTATTATGAATCCACAGTATTTTGCAATTATCCATTATTAAAATGTCCCCTTGCAACAAAAACCTTCTTGGTGAATTTATTCAGTGTTTTCATTACAATTTCTGGTTAAGTGCAGAACATGAAAGAATTATCACATAATAAACATGACACAAGCAAGTTTCTTCAACAGGAAAATATATATGAGCAAAAAGAGATACATGAATACCAAGGAGTCATCATCCCACCAATGCAAGCAGATTGATATTTAGGATCAAAGTGCTCATGCCATATGGCAGACCCTAAATCAACCAGATCATAAAAAATCACCATCAACATTGAAATCTTAAAATGACAAAAATAAAGAGATATCAACCACTTCTTTTTACATGTTTTACTTGGGACAGACAACTGTGGCTTAATTTCTGGCTTAAACTGGTTGTTCAATGAATTCAAATATGTATATTTTTTAAAACCAGTTCAAAATATTTTATGCGTAAACATGTTGAAAACAGATCACAATAAAAGAAAGAAAAAGAAGTATGCCAGAGTTTGATTTATTTCAAAGAAACAGCTGTTTTATATTTATACATTTTTGCTGTGGAGAATCAGTAGACAAAATTTTAACATTGATTGAAAATCCAAGATGGCCACCACTGCCAACATATGCACTGAAAAGATTAGTTAAGTTGCAATGGTGACTTTAAAGAATACTTGTGAACATGAAAAATTTAAAGAAAATTTATAACAGAATATTACAGAGTAAATTTATATTTATTTCTTTGCAGGATAAAATGTTTCAATTTTGGTTAAACACATTTTTTGTGGAGGCAGACGACAAGCCAAAAGAAAATGGAAGGAAATCTTGGGCAGGAGAAGTTCCAGGGTCCAGTAATTATTACACAGTGACTATTCCTAAGTGTGAACTAGACAAAGCTAATAAAGATAAGGCTCACAAGTTATTTAGTCCTAATTTCCAGGTAGGTCTATTTCTTGTAAAGAAGGGGTCTAAAGATGATGACGACTAAAAGGTATTAAGTTCTTATTTCCAGGTAGGTCTATTTCTTGTGAAGAAGGGATCGAAAATAAAGACAAGAAGTTATTTAGTCCTAATTTCCAGGTAGGTCTATTTCTTGTGAAGAAGGGGTCTAAAGATGGTAAAGACCAAAAGGTGTTAACTTCTTATTTCTGGGTAGGTCTATTTCTTACATCGAAAGGATCAGTGCAACGATAAGACTCGCAAATTATTCTAGTGTTAGTTTCCAGTTAGGTCTATTGTGAAGAAGGGGTCCAAAGATTAGACCAAAAGGTATTAAGTTCTTATTACAAGGTAGGTCTATTTCTTACATAAAAAGAATCAATTCAAAAATAAGACTCACAAATTATTTTAGTCCTTATTTCCTGGTAAGTATGTTTCTAGCTTTATAATAAGAATCAATACAGCTGTAACATTAATAAAGTGGATCTATTTCTTACATAGAAAAAAAATCATACCTCAATATGGCTCATAAAATGTTGGGCTTGTGGAGAGTTAAAATATTTCAAACTAAGCTTTCATGAGTGGCTATTTAATATTGATTTGCATCAGATGTTGTGCAGAATCTGTCTAGGAGATAACATGTAGGCAAACTTGTGAAGTCTTTCCTGGTGATCAGCCAAAAAAATATATATTAACTGTTTGTGACATCAGGCTTGGCTACTGTCAATCTAATTCCAAAAACGATCTTGCATTGCTCCCATTTTCTGATAGTTTTTCATGCCAACACAATGACAAACAAGTTTTTCATGCCAACACAATGACAAACACAGAAAATGACGAGGAGATTTGATGTCAGAACTCAACTTTAACCCTAGAAGATTTGAGAACAAATAAACCCAACATTAATTATAAAAAAAATTTAACAATCTTATTTGGTCAAGCATTCAGGAAGAATTAATATATAAACAATAAATCTGAATGTATATTTTTTTTTGTAGGTCAAACTTCATTTCACCAATCCTGAAAATTGTGGATTATACAACTCTTCATTAAAAGTCCCTGATCAGCAAGGATTACGACACCGATCAAAAACATTAGAACAAATATGTGATAAAAACTCCACTTCCAATCACTCGGACCATAGTGTGGACGGGATGCCCCATTCTATAACGGCACTGACACTTAACTCTCGAAGAGAAAATCAGTCGCCTGTGATAACGCGGACACGATCACCTAGTCACATGACTCACGAACGACCAAAATTCACGTTGCCGTCTAACGGGGAGGGCAGTAGTGACCAATTAAGTAGTGAGGCAAATAGTGACACAGACTTTGGCGAGGAGGATTTGTCGGACACGGACGACGAAGAAGAATGGAATGATCTAGAAACGACTGCTGTTTGATAAATTATCTATTTTTATAAAATTTATCATTTTTCGTCAAACATTATAAAAATCCCACATTATGTTGTTGTTGAGTTATGTCATATTTTCCCCCATTGTTACATAGCCATTAGTTGTTTCATCTATGCTCAGCATTTTGTTTTTTCTTCATTATATGGTCATTACAATGAATAGTCAAACAGAAATTCTTTACTTGAAGTATTTCTATATAGTTTTTGTGTATCTTTCAAGGCTTTTCAATTAACAATAGCATCTTCTTAAGGAAGGCAGAGTGGTAACTGATGGTCTTTTATATAAAAGTGATAATTATCTTGGTGCAACTTTTGTTAGAATTCTTTGGCAGCTTTGCATAGAAGTGAATTCATTGTACCTTCCTTGGGACATGTTATATTTAAGTGAAATAGCCTTAAAAAATTGTTCTTGTTGACAAATTTGTCGTTACATAAACATGATAAACCTGCCTAAATGATTTTTTATTTCAATTCATCTCAAATTTTCCGATCTCAAAAAACAATTTCTAAAACCTTAAAATGTATTTATTATATCAATAAGTAAGTATAAAATTACAGATTATAAAATAAATAGTGCTAATGATATGTTTGACCGTTTTCATCCATTTCGTTATCTAATTGATTAATTCTGGACCAATCATGCAATGAATCAAACATTTGTTAATCTGTCAGGCTGAAATTTTTTTTTTACTGGAAAATCCTTTATGAAGATACTTGAGATTGACTTTCGCCCTAATTTTCATTGTCCTTTTCAGCAGATTAAGTAATGTTTTTGGAGCCATGCCAAACATTTTATTTTTGCTTTCTTTACACTTTTTTCAATCACTGTTTAATGTCAAGTGACTTAAGTGAAAAGTAAATAGGATACAAAAGTGCTGTTCTAGTGCAATTGTCTTTGATCTTTGAAAGAGTTTATTTAATTCTCAAGTTAGTATGCTTTTCCTGTATAGTTTTAACAGTGTGGAAATTGCAAACCTAATTTATGGAATATTAACATTTTTAGAAGTATTTTGATAATCAAACTATATTGTTTTATTTTGATAAAAATTGAATACTTTGTACACATTCATGACATGGTTAATTCAATATTTCTTGAAGTTTTTTTTAAATTGCCTCATTCAATACAATGATTATTCTCTATGCTTAAATAAAAGAAATATTAAAGAAATTCCAAAATTTAAGTTGATATTGAACACCTACAAGATTGTTCATGTTTTTAGAAACAAAAACGAAAAAAAAGGAGAAAAAAAAGCAATATTAAAACATAGAAAACATTAACTGTTCCCAAAAATTTACAGGGGTCTTTGAGGGTATTTTTTCAAATGTCCATACAAGTTATCAAGTGCTTGATGCTAAAATATGTCCTTCTCTCAACCACTCATAGAAGTTTATTTGCATGTACAGTCTAAAACACTCAGATAATTATTTTGGAACAGACCTTAAAGAAAAAAGAGGGAATTTCATATGATAGAATTATCTGTACATTGTATATATTTTTGCTTCTTTGTGAAATTTGCTTTTTTTCCAGCTTTTGTGCATGCAATATTTTTATGTGTTCACAGTCTGTAATTTTTTTGTGCTGAATTTTTAAAATTACCTAAAGTTATTCTAAAGTCCATGTCTGTTGAAGAATCAGTATGTTGAGAAATATGATGATAATTAACATCGAATTGAATTCAGTGCAAAAAAAAAAATAAATTAGTTTTAGAAGTATCTTGTTTTATTTTAGTTTTTGATCTGATCACTAGAAATATGAATTGTGTAGACTGCACTGTTATTTAACAAATTAAGGGAGATAACTTAGTAAAGATACATTGTATATCATAAAAAATCGTCTCACATTCCTAGGTTCTGTTATGAAAAATAAAAGACCAACAATTGCAGTCACAGAGCAGTGCAAGATAAAATGTTTGCTTCATTATGTGTTTTTGTTTTTGTTTTTTTACCATGCTTTTATATTTCAAATTTGACTGATTCTCAACAAGACCTTTACTTAAAAAAAGGTCAAGGGTCATATTAAATCAAAATATAGTTGTTATGCAATATTGCATGTTTTTGTTCTAAAAGATTTTCATGTCATAATTTGGAACTGCCAAAAAGACTACCCCTAGGATGATTTGGTGAGTTGGTCTATTGTTTTTAATTTGTTCTTAGTGTTTCCAATTATTTACAATTCTAACTTTTTTTTGGTTATCACAAATACCTTATATGTGTCAAGACTGTCTGACATGGTTTCCCCATTAGATTTTAATGATGGAGGGACCAAGAATATTCTTATATTTCGAATTATATTAACTACGAAATTAAAAAAAAAAATTTATGATTCATGAATTTCTAATCAGATACATAAAAATTAGAATATCTACCATTGTCTACCAATATATTTTAGTAATAGCGAAAATGGTGTTGGAACTAGTTAAGAGAGTGCTAAAGGTTTCTCTTTTTATACGCCGGTTTACGGGACGTATTATGGTATACCGTTGTCCGTCGTCAACATGTCGGACATTAACTCAAAAATGCTAAAACCAATTTGCATAAAACTTTGGTGAATTGTTTATATCTATTGACGTGAGCTCCCTATCGTTTTTTATCAACTTTAGATTTTATGTTTCCAAGTTATGGGGATTTATTCATTAAAAAAAGGGTGATTTGCCAGTTTTCGGACAATAAGTCAAGAATGCTTTCACCAACTTGCAAGAAATTGTGGTGAATTGTTTATATCTATTGACATGAGCTCCCTTCTGATTTTTATAAATTTTAGATTTTACGTTTCCGAGTTACAGGGTTTTATTCATAAAAAAAGGGGGGATTTTCCAGTTTTCGGACAAAAACTCAAAAATGCTTTCAGCAATTCTTATGAAACTTTGGTGAATTGTTTTTATGTATTGATGTAAGCTCCATTAGAATTTTATAAATTTTACATTTTCCATTTCTGAGTTATGGGGTTTTATTCATTACAAAAAGGGGTGATTTTCCAGTTTTCGGACAATAACTCAAAAATGCTGTCAGCAATTCTCATGAAACTTTGGTGAATTGTTTATATCTATTGATGTAAGCTCCCTTTTAATTTTCATAAATTTCTAATATGACATTGAGAATTAATTGAACTTATTTGTTTATAGTCTGACAACAGATTTACTACATATTGCAGTATTGCACAACAGCAAGAAATCTTTAATTGAACATAAATTCAATTCATATAACCAATTTCAAGTTCTTTGACTACATTTATTCAGAAACCTAAAATATGTCAAATATTTAATTATAATCCAAAATCAGACCTGAATCAAGCTTGAATATTGTGTCCATTTTTGCCCCAACTGTTCCGGGTTTGACCTCTGGGGGCGTATCTAGCTGCGCTCAGCGAAGCAGTTTATTCTATTCGTGTTATCCTCAAAACATTTTTAATAAAGTAAGTACGAGATCATAATTGCCAAAAGTTTGAATTGTTGTTGTATTTCTACTTAATGAAACAGAGATATACAGTGATCGTTGTGTCTTACAATCCATTCCTTACACAAGTGTATTGTTCTTTGTGCATCTTCATCATATAGGTAATGGGAGATAACTCTTAGAAATCACTGTAATGCTTGTGTCAACAAATTTTATAGGTGCATTCTGTAAAGCTTTTAAGTAACACAGATTAAATCAATTCTGTTGAATGATTAATAAGCTTTTAGGAAGCTGCAAATTTCAAACAAATTAATGGTTTAATAACTTTTTAGAGTAAGAGTGAAGTTTTTATAATTAGGTCAATCTCTAAAAAAAAAATGATCGGTGAATGAAATCATAGTTGGTTGTACATGTCTGTTAAATGGGGGTTACAAAACCTTGACATAATTTTCATGTTATATTGATCAACTCATCTTAATTTAATGATAGGCCAATAGGTCTTTTAAATCATTGTTATGTATACAGGTCTGTCTGACAGACGACACCTGACCTCAACCTCAATTTCATGGTTCAAATTATGTATTCATTACTGTTTTGTTTTTCAAACTGAATTTTAAGGTTTCCATATATATATACCAAAACATTGACTTTGCAATTTATTTAAATGTATCTTTATTTCATCTGCATATTCTCTAAATTGAATACTAGTAGATTTATCAATTGAACTTTGAACTTAGAATATCTATTGCCTCTCTATTGTCCCTCCTATTTTAGTTTTAATTAGAATATTGTATATGTTTTTTTTTTAATAACTAAGAACTTTGTTACGGGATTAGTTCCAGTACGTAGATAGGTATATGAAAATTATGAGCTCGACTCACACATCTAACTTGCATTTATTCAGGGACAAAAAAAAATTATCACATTTTTTTGTTTAATTCATAGGTAAGAGATTATTTTATATCTATTTAATTATCAGAAAACTGCTTAATGTTACTGTAGAAATAGATTAGGTATATTTTTATGATTCTTTCGTATTGTTAACATTTTTTGTTACATTGTAAACAGCAAAATTTAATCATTATCAACATTCATAAAAACTTAGGTTAAGGTACCAGTAGGTGTACTGGTACAATGTATTTACAATTTGAAGGGAAAGTGTCACATGGGCTGTTCCAAAAATAATTATTTGGATGTATGACAAGACTGTCACAAGAGATTTCAAATGGGCCATATAAAGAGATGGTATGGGTTTAGGGTTTCTTGACTGACCATAAGTTTTTATGAGGGTTTCTTTCAAAACTTTTCACCATCAAATGAATTTTTTTTCCACTAACTTATTTCATTAAAATTGTGACTGCATGTCAAGACATCGCCACTTTGACAAATTGCAAATGGAAAAAAGTTCCATAAAGTGGTATTTATAATATCAGAACTGAAATTCTTTTTTTCAAAGATTGTGACCAAAAAAAAAAAAACACTATTACGAAAGAAACTCTAAACACACATATTTGTTTTTTGGCCCAAGAATTTAAACACTTCTTGAATTCTTACGTAAATTTTAAAAGTTGCATACATCCAATATTTTTATTTGAGGAACAGTCTGCCAAAAGTTTTGCCAATTTGTTAAAACCTCATTTAAACAGATAATAGGGCTATTGTTAACATTGATTGTTATTAACATTGTTAAATCTCTGTTTTATGTTTTTAAAATAAAGTCTCAGGTAGGTAGGTTATCTCCCCTTGTAATTGCTATCAAAGTTATTAAATACTGTTCACATTAAAACTTTGTTCACCCAATATATATTTGAATGTTAGGTCATATGATATGATAGTGACAAAAGGAAGTTAAAATGATTACATAGATAGAACAGAATTAATTTTTGACATATCCTTTGTTCAGATGTTTCACATGGGTCTTGAACACCATTTTAACAGCTAAATTTGGGACCATGCTATTATTACACATTCAAACTTTTAAGCTTTGTCAAGCAACTTTCTCATTGCATGTTTGAAAGAAGTCATTTAAAGATCCTTCTTTCTGATTTCAACAGAATCCTATGTACCATTTCACATTGTTGAGATATCTCCCTGTAGAAATCTTAAGAATTGTGGGTTAAATAATTCCATACGCACCAAAAAAAATATCACTGTATCATTCGTTATATATTCATTGTTTAATAAATTATCATCCAATCAAATCATGATGAAGCATTTGAAAATGTTACTCACAACTAAGTTAAATTCAGACACAACTCATTTTAAGGGGGTGCAGAACACCTAAGGGAGTTAACTCTTCAAAAATCAGCTGAAAGTTTTAATCACATTCTTTTAGTAAAGAGAAATCAAGCTTTTTAATGATCAAAAGTAGTGTTTGTCAAACTGCTATATATCCAATTCAATTATTCCTGTAAATTGTGATGTTCAAATTTCTTAAAAAATTATTTTTTTTGTCAAGTCAAAGTTAATATTTTGTCCAAATTTTATGGAAATTAAACGAGTCAAATATATTTTAATCAAAGTGTTTGGTACCCCTTTAAATACTTAATTGATATAATTGCAGTCCCATTAAAATATACACAGCAATAAGGCAAGACAATATCCTCTCTGAATTATTTTTTTGGAATGACATTATTAAAAACTGTTCAATTACTTTCTGTGTTTGGCTGCTTGATTTCCAAAATTTCTACCTGTGTTTCCTGTATATTTTAATGGAACAGCCCTATATGGTTTCTATAGTAACACTTTGTACTATATTGTATGGTTGTGTATATAGATGTTACAAAGTCTAGCCTTTGAATGATAGAGATATTTTTATGGAAGAATTTTGTATGACTGTTTGTTATTATTGCCTCATAAAATGCTGTTTAAAAGAAAAGGAAAGTTTTGTTGTGTTGTTTATATTTGTTTCTGCCTAATGGATCTACTTAAAGAGAATCAAAAGTTATAGAGAGGTTGACAAAATCATGGCAAAAAAGAAAAAAGATATACAACATTGATCAAGATGGGAATAGAAGTGATGACCCCCCCCCCCCCCCCCCCCCTCATGTGAGATAAATTTTATAGAGACCAGTGGCGTAGCTGGACTTAAATAAAGTGCAATCATAACGATCGCGGAGCGAAGCGAGGCGAACAATTTTTTTGGACCATTTTATGCAGAAAATGATAACTTTTTTCAGGCATTTTCCCGGTATGCCATGCTTATGAAATTCACATCACATTCACGCCCAAACTCCTATTTTGTGAATACTTGTGGACTTTATAGTGATTCGGCAAGGGAGGAGGCTATGGACCGCCCAAAGTCCCCAGCTGGTCCAGGATAGCACCCTAGTCGGGGATTCAGGGCAGCAACGTAGACGGTGGTCTAGGGAAGCGAATCCCCATGAAGCTCCGGGCATATGAGTAATTACAGTGACTGCTTTGAACATGAAAAATACCCTATCTGTTTCTTACTATACCATATTTTCATGAAACGATAGTAAAAGTCTAGTGAGTTCCGTAATTTGCTGCTTATATTATTAACATGGTTATTTTCAAATATAAAAAAAATTTTATAAAACGGGAAGATCAGGAAGAGTCGACAACCGAAGCGTTAATCAATGGACAATTGACAAACCTGGGAACAGATAAGACACAAAAGGAGAAACAAAAACATTCAACATTGAAAACTAAATACAGATGAAAAACACGGACCCAGAAAACAATGTGGCGACCTCCGGTGCTCCGGCCAAAAGGGTAAGCAGTTCCTGCTTCTTGCAAGACACCCGTAGTGTGTCTCACGAAGGTCATTCTCAAATCAAAGGAGAGGTTTCTACGACAACGGTAGAAGGTCATTTGGGACACAGATACCCCAGGTGAATCAATAGTCTTTTGGACGAATGGACAATGGGAATACGAAATCTAACGGCCACTTTTAAGTCTTGACTTATAAGTAAGGGATATAAATCTAAGATGTTTTCAAGGTGATTGTATTGAGCCTGTATTATTAAATGTTAATACTGCATGTAAGACTTAAAGTATAGTTAATATCGAAAGTCCATATATCTATTTTTTGCCAAGGCAAATGATCGCAGAACTCTCTCGGTGTTATTAATATCCGTTTCGTTTGTGAACATGTATGAGCGCCAACGAAGATAGTCTGTCCTGTACCATGTTTGAATGGAGATAAGTTTTCGGTCGCCTTAATGCACTAAATGACCGTTCAGTAGTTGATGTAGTTACTGGCATTGTAATTAGAATTGAGAATATTGCGAATATTGAAGGATATATAGTTCCTTATTAGTCACTGCTACAGACGACATCAAAGATTTGGGCTTTAAACACCGCCCGACACGATAATCTGTAAAGACTAAAGACTACCCATAATTCAATTTCAGAATTTTTTTTTTTGGGTGAAAAAAATGTGCAAGCAAATGATTTTTTGCGTAAAGGCAGCTACGTTCCTGGAGACAGCAACCCAAATACAAAAAAAGAACTTAAATAGTCATCTAGATATGTAAGATGTGAGGCATATGTCAATGAAACAACAACCCAAAGATAAATTTTATAGAGACAGCAACCCAACTACAAAAAAGAAATAAAATAGTCATCTAGATATGTAAGATGTGAGGTATATGTTAATGAAACAACAACCCAATGGCACAAACCATAAGACATCTTAAGATCAACACACAGTCTTCAAAATTACACAGGTGCTGAGCTCCAAATTGCCCCAAGCATAAAGAAATTGTGAATATGGGTAAATTTTTGACAGAATCTACCAATTTTCCTAAGTGAGAAAAAGATGTATTTTTAAGAACAGACAAGCTTTGATGAGCACCTGACTTTTGACCAGCACATTCACATGTGTAGGGGTTTAAACTATTGTTTTGAGATGTAGACCCTCCCCCCTTTATAGTTCATCATGTGGTCTTCAAAGATGTTAATGCTCATGCTTAAAATCCCCCCAAAAATGAAAAACAAGTTTTGACAAAATTGAGCAGAAACCGCCAATATCTTACACCAAATAGCACGAAAAGCTCTAGACTATTAAAAGACATGAAGAAGCAGCAACAAACTGACAAGATTCCTGACTCCTGAACATACAAAGTTTGAATTAACAATCTTGGCAAATATGCTTGCTTTCTTTGTTGCAATTTCTTGTGGAAATTGAAGATTGTTTGCCTTTTCATTGAAATTGTTACATTTGGCCTCCCCTCATGGAATTTCATGTTGGATAAATGCATAGACTTTTTGCAAGTATCATTTTTAGCATTGGCTTGCCAGTAGGCCTGCCTTTTTTAAAAATCCTGGATCCGCACCTGAAATGCAAATCTTTTCGAGCTTGTCAATAGTGTCTGAAATCTTTAATTTATACTAGTGGTCTCAATTATTAAGTGTACTCAACGCAAAATGTTTTGCAGAGAACAAGTTTTTATACTATCGCAAAAAATTTTGCGGTCGTATATTGGTATCACGTCGTCGACGTCTGAAGACAGTTGGTTTCCGGACAATAACTTTATTATAATTAAATAGAAATCTATGAAATTTAAACACAAGGTTTATAACCACAAAAGGAAGGTTGGGATTGATTTTGGGAGTTATGGTCCTAACAGTTTAGGAATTAGGGCCCAAATAAGCATTTTTCTAGTTTCCAGACAATAACTTGTGGAACGGTGTATGGATCTTTCTGAAATTATACCACAAGTTTCAATACCACAAAGGGATGGTTAGGATTTGCTTTGGGGGGCTATGGCTCAAACTGTTTAGGAATTGGGGGCAAAAAAGGGGGAAAAACAAGGGTTTCCTGGTTAATGGCCAATTAAGACAATTTAAAAGCAGTGTAAAGGAGGTAACCCAAACACAACGTTTCGATTACCTCCCTTACACTGCTTTTAAATTATGTATAAAGAAAGAAACTCAATTTTCCAAATAAAAAAATTGGAGGTCACAATTTATTTTGCTATTTCTTTGTATATAGTCAATAAATAGTAAAAAACACAATGAAAATTTCAATCGACCAGTATTTGCCAGTATTGACCACTTAAGGAGTATTGTTCGGGGCGGTAAATACTGGTAAATACCGAGGCGGTATTTACTGCCGAACCTTGTTACTAAGTATTGCACAACAGCAAGAAATCTTTAATTGAATATAAATTCAAATCATACAAATGGATTCCAGACAATAACTTTAGTTTAAGTGTATGGATCTCTATGAAATTTTACCAAAAGGTTCAATACCACATAAGGAAGGTTGGGATTGTTTTTGGGGGTGATGGTCCCAACCGTTTAGGAAATAGGGGCCAAAAAGGGGCCAAAACAATCATTTTTCTAGTTTCAGGACAATAACTTTTGTATTAGTATTTTGATTGCTCTGAAATTGTACCAAAAGGTACAATACCACAAGAAGAAGGTTGGGATTCATTTTGGGGGTAATTGCCCAAACCATTCAGGAATTAGGGGCCAAAAAGGATCTAAAACAAGCATTTTTCTAGTTTTCAGACAATAACTTGTGTTTAAGTGTATGGATGTCTCTTAATTTGTACCACATTTTACAAAAAGAAAATTTCTTCAAAATTGCAGGGGAGTATAAAAAATTTTTGAGGGGTTTCAATTTTTTTTTCCTCAAGATCTAAGAAATTGTCAATTTTCCAAAGAAAAAAATTGGGGTCACAATTTATTTTGCTAATTCTTTGTATATAGTCTGAAAACAGATTTTCTAAGTATTGCGCAACAGCACAGTGTATTGCACAACAGCAAGAAATTTTCAATTGAATATAAATTCAAATCATACAACCAATTTCAAGTTCTTTGACTACATTTATTCTGTGTCAGAAACCTATAATGTGTCAAATATATTTAATTACAATCCAAATTCAGACCTGTATCAAGCTTGAATATTATGTCCATATTTGCCCCAACTGTTCAGGGTTGGACCTCTGTGGTCGTATCCAGCTGCGCTCAGCGAAGCAGTTTATTAAAAAAGCATTTGATATCAAATCAAGAAAAAAATACAGTATCAAGGGAAATTATCATAATAAAAAATGTTGCCACTTTAATTTCAACACAATTATTTTGTACCTCATGCTTTGAAGTAGATGGGTATGATAATCAGTGCCGATCAATTTATTTTTTAAATGAATTATGGCCCTTGAAAATAATTTTATGAAAAATTACATTGTTAGCGCTCTCACATGTACAATGCTTGTCAGATTTTTATGAAACTTTTATCATAGGTTTATATCAGCAATGTCTTGCACAAGTTCGAAAATCAGTGCCGATCATTATTTTTAAAAGAGTTATGCCCCTTGGAAACATTAATTATATTGGAAATTGCATTGCATTTGCTCTCAAGCCTTCATTTCTCCAAGATATTTATAAAAAGTTATGGCCCTTGGACATAAAATATGTGCAACACAGGGGACATTGGAACTCTGATCTTCTTTTTTTTTGCAAGTAGGAAATTTTCATTCTCTTGGTGCTTTCTTCTGATGAGTCACAATATTAATTATTATACTTCACGTTAAAATGCCAGATTTTTTACAAAAATCTTCTCCTCTGAAACTACTGGGTCAAATTTAACCAAACTTGGCCACAAACATCATCAGGATACTAGTATCTAGTTTCAAAATGTGTCTGATGACCCCGCCTGCAACCAACATGGCTAAAAATAGAACATTTTGCAAATGTTGTCTCTTGTCTTGAAAACTTTTATATATAAAGAAAATCTGACATGGCAGAAATGTTCAGAATAATGAGATCTACCTATTGTTCATTAACATCAAAACTGTAAGACGACTTCTTATAGGAGTTATTGCCCTTAAATGACGAATTTTACCAATTTCTTTCATTTTTTCCAATTATATTGAAAATTATAACAGATAATGAAAAACTTTAAATCACAAAAATGATCAGAAATACATGATCTACAAATATGTCAAACACTGTTGAAATCGTTTGACGACCCCTTGTTGGAGTTATTGCCCTTTAATGACGATTTTTGCGTTTTTGCCTAATATAATAGATAGATAGAAACTTAAATAAGCAAAAATGATCATCAAGATAAGATCTACAGATATTAGTCTACTGGCCGAAATCGGCAGTTCACTCCTTATTGGGGTTATTGCTCTTTAATGACGATTTTTACACATTTTTAGTGTTCTGCCTCTTATCTTGAAAACTATTATTATATATAGATAGCTGGGACTATCATACTAACATAATAATCCCAGTAGATAGACAGCCACTTTTAAAAGCAAAAATGATCAGCAAGGCTATCTACAAATAAGTCAGCATAGCCAAAATTTGCAGCCGACTCGGAGTCTCCTTATTGGAGTTCTTGCTCTTTTATGACGTTTTCTGTCTCTTTTCTGCTGAAATCGGTTTGAAGGAACTACTTGTGATAGATCAATGATATTTTCTATAAAGTTGCATTACTATCAGTACATATCAGCAGAGACATATAATACATTGTATTTTATATGTCTCTGATATCAGTTTGACGACTATTTCGAGCCCCTGCCCCCTAGGTCATGTTCCAATGACTTTGAATTTATTATTAATTTCAGTGGTAAGTTTTCTGCTACATCAGTTTGATAGGAACTACTTGTGATAGATCAATGATCATTTCTATAAAGTTGCATTACTGTCAGTACACATCAGTTTGACGACTATTTCGAGTCCCTGCCTCCTAGGTCACAGTCCAATGACTTTGAATTAATTAGCAATTTTCAATGTTAGTTTTCTACGCCTCGGGCTTTAAATATTCATAAAACATGACCAAGTATTATCTAACCTATAAGTACATCTCAGTCTTTGTCATGGTCAAGCAACTTTGAATTAATTAGCAATGTTGCTGCCCATCAGATTATCTTTTTCTGAATTGTATGCCGACAGGCGAGCCATATCTCTGTGTCAACAGTTTATTGCCAATATTTTTTCGTTTTTGTCTATTATCTTAAAAACTACAAAAGATAGATCGACATTTCAAATATCGTTAGAAGACTCTTTAGAGATTTTTGTCGCGAATTCTATTTTAGTTCACAATGTTGGAGGGTGTCTATTGTTGAATATGCACATAGACCTAGGTGAGCGACACAGGCTCTTAAGAGCCTTTAGTTTTAATGTTATTCTCTCGTGCAGACACAATGATCGAAAGTCGATAATTTAGAAGGCAATGCATATAATTTACATTAATTATTTTAAAGACAATGCTCAAGTTATACGTTTCGGCCTCAGGCCTTTTTCATAGACTGTAACGTAAAAAGTTTCAAATTATATTGTTTCACTTTTGTTACTCAGTTTCTGGTGATCGACTGTAACGTTGCTGTACGTGTACATGAATTAAGTCATAGTTTATTACTTTCAATCTAAAATTTAAAAGACAATAATGACAGAACATTTAGTATAATAGATTAAATAATACATAGCTGAGAGAGTGAAAGAGCAGATGATTTCATATAGGCTCTTGACTTTTACTGCAGTGATCTTTATTGTCATTCGCTCAGGTCGAAAACATTCTGGCGTCTTCGTGTACCCAAGTCAAATTCTTATATTTACTGTTTGTATAAAGCTTTAAATACTCACATTTTGTTACATTAAATAATTGGCCAAATGATATTAAGGAAACATATAATTCAGATACTTTCAAGATCAAATGTTCAAGCTATTTTTTAACATTACGGATGAAGATATCTGAATCAAATCGAATTTTATTTTCTATTGAATGCACTGCGCATTGGTTATATTATTTATAGTTTACTGTTTTATGTTATTTATTTGTTTGTATATTTAATTGTTTTTGTACCAATTATTTTTGAAGGTCTATGGGAGTTATCATTATAACAGACGCTAACTTCTACTTTATCTATACTCTCTGGTGGAGAGTTGTCTCATTGGCACATCTTCTTATCTTTATATAAAGAATGTTGCGGTGTTAAACTGTTTGTACACTCCCCCTAACCAAGAATTTTCTGCATATAAATCAACTGTAAACACCCTATTGTAAAAGGCTTAATCGGTACTTAATTGGGATAAAGCGACTAACAAAACGACATAAGACACAAAGTACCGATCTAAGAGTAGCCGAAGTAAATGAAAGCTTGTTCAAAGTCCAATTCCATCTTATAAAAAAATATTTGATTGTTTTTGTCATAAATCAAGCAGTCGATTTTCTCGTTTACATTGTTTCACATTTGGACAATGGTGGATACTTGTCTCATCAATTAACTGGCAATAATACCATGCACGTCTACTTTTTTTTATATGTTTCAAGTCAAGTCTAACTTCGATCAGTCTGACACCCAAACGGATTTAGTGTAAAGACGGCACTTGCAGTCTGAGAAAATCGTGGATTTGTGCAATGCTAAAAATATATGTATCGACAGGATTTATGTCTATAAGTGTTGTGATACGATTGCCAATAAGACTTGAAACTATCCCCACCAGAGGCTAAAGGACGAGGGTCGATAGAAACATCTATAAAGGTCGTCGTACACAGCCTTTAACAATGAGCAAAACCAAAGCCGTATAGACTTGCTAAACTTTAAAAGACACCACCATGACAAAATTCAAAGTTGAAACATTTCAAAACAGAAAACCAACAGCCTGGTTTATGCTAAAAACGAAAAACAAATATGTTGTGTTTTGTACTAATTAAAAACTATTAAAAGTAAAATAATGCATGATCAGTATACTGATAAAGAAAATATTGAAGTATCTTACAACATTACAGATAACAATATTCTTTTTATATAAACAAAGGATATGGGGTATCCTTCCATGACACAAAATCAGTACATGCACAGCACTCCCCCCCCCCCCCCCCCCCCAAAAAAAAAATACAACACACACACACTTCATCTCAAAGTCACAGTCAGACCTTCAACACAGAGCAAAAAAACTCTTACCTCACTGCATGCAAGTTTAAGACGGCCCCGAGAACAGGCTTGAGTGGAATTCTTTGCAAAAATAATTTGGACATAAGGTGCTTTTGTCATATAATTTTGTTATTCTGTTTCCGATTTTTAAATATCAATGTTTATGTGCAGATGCTTCAGATATTCATTCTATGTATTTGTGTTAACGAAATTTCTGTTTAAACCTTCCGGAGGGTCTGGATGGCGGGGTGTGGTGTCCTTCATTTCTGTATTTTTTAATTTTGCGGTTAATTTTTCTCTATTCTTTATATTTTTGCCCATTATTCTCTATTTTGTTTATTCTAAAACCTCATTATTCTCTCTTCTTTAATTTTTTAAGCCATTTTTCTCTATTCTTTTTAGCTTTTGCCCATTATTCTCTATTCTGTAAACCCCCATCAGGGCCGTAACTAGATCTCCAGACGAGGCAGGGGTCTGGGGGCCGCCGACTGAGGCCCCATAGGTAGTGGGGGCCCATGGGGGAAAGCCCCCCGGCCAAAAATTGTAGTTCTAGGGTTCGAAATATATCTTGTAACATCCATTTTTGTATCATGCATATTTATCGTTTGAGTTTCATATTTACTGTATGAAGAAATGCGTTAGGCAACCTGAGCCGGCTGATAGATACTTGCCTCGAATTTTGTTCCATCAAAACATATATCCATTTACAGTAGGGTACATGTTTAATAGTAGAAAAAGCGGGACAAGTGTGTGTGGTTAACCCTGCAATAAAAATAACACACATTCTAACAAAATTTAATAAAGACCACTGAAAGAATGGAAGCTAGTCATTGTCTGTGAACGCTAGTTCGACCTTTCTTGTGCCACTAAGATCCCATTGTTTGAGAACAGCTTCTGCGTTTAATTGCCCGACATTGTCCGTACGAAGGACGTGAAACATGGCCAAACAACATAATCTGTCCTCGGTCGAACTTGTTCAGAACCTTTTTCGCGGGAAATAAATAATTGCTGAAACAAATGCCGGTTTACTGGCGATAGTAATCAGATATAGAGAGTTCGATTAATAACGTAGTTGAAATAAAAGTACACAAGCTTAACGTCAACATTAATTACTATTCGAAGTATGTATTACTTAATTGTTGAATGAAATGAAAATGTAAGGATGTTTTCTACCCCTGCATGCACAACCTTTTTCCATTTTCTTTTTTTTTCTCTTATTATTTCTTTGTTTTGCCAAAAATTCAGACGAGGCAGTTGCATAGATGAATAGCAGACATTTCAAAGGTGTAAAGAACTGAAATTTAGGTCAATCAGTCAAAGAATTACTAAGTAATACTTCTTTGAAATCTTTTTTTTCATTCAGGAAATTGGCCGGAAATCGTTGTCCGTTTTTCGGTCCTTTGCGGTAATTGCCGAAATTTTTTCTAAGTTTAAAAAATGATCATATTTGTTATAAAAATATAATTTACCGGCATATTTCTTCCATTTCAGCAATCCTTTGAAGTTTCTACACCTCAAAATCATAAAACGGCGAAATTGTGTCCCCCGCGAATATGTGCGCCCCACTCTAGCTAGTCCCCCTTCCTCCATATGATAAGATTAAAAGTAAATGGATGCCCCTTAGGTCAATACAGCCACCAAAGGATAAAAGCAATAATAATTGATTGATTTTAATTTGTCCAACTAACGAAATTGAATTAGAATATTTGTTTTAATGCCGGCTAAAACAACACGAAATCCTTTTAAATTTACCGCGTTTTTTAAAGTTTAGGGTAAACCGCAAAGCATGTCGGGATATTGTGAATGTAAACACTTGGAATAGGGAATGTTACCTACCAGTGGCAATACCTATGCCATGGATACCTATGGATCTTCAGAACGCTGGCACTGTTGTACCATTCTATTCTGCTCTACTTCATCATTGTTGTATTTAATTGTACGTTTCTCACTTCCGGATAAAATTTCATATTCTGCTTCGAAATTATACATAATGGCCCAAAATTTATCTAACAAAGTAACATGTCCAATCTATTTTTGAAAGTGTTTAAGGTTTTGCTGATATAACTTCTTCAGGGAGGTTGTTCCATATGTCCACTACTCTGTTGGTGAAAAAATATTTCCTCAGATCCAGACGACTTCGTTGTTTCATAAGTTTCATTGAGTGGCCTCTTGTCTTTTTCGAACTTTGTGTTGTGCATCTCTAGTATAAACCCTAGTGTCGTATAATCCTGTCAATAACTTGTACACTTCTATCATGTCACCTCGTAAACAGCGGAAACGGAGGGTTGGAAGCTTGAGTTTTCGTAAGCGGTCTTCGTATGGCAAGTCTCTCATTGTAGGCAACATTTTGGTCGCTCTCTTTTGCACATTTTCAATACTTGTAATGTCAGCCTTCCTGTAGGGTGACCATATACTGTTTGCATACTTCAGATTCTTACAAGTGCCTTAAATAATAATGTAAATGTGCAATTGTCTAGGTGGACAAAAGAACGGCGAGTGAGGCCTACGATCTGATTAGCTTTATTAACTTGGTTTTGAATATGATTTGCAAATGACAGATTCATGTCAATAGTTACTCCAATATCTTTTTTATGTTGTTTTCCCTTGATTTGCTGCCATTTTTGTGTGCTCTTCTTCTTCTTCTTCCAGGTAAGGAACCGAATTCAAATTATTGCCACAGGGGCGGATCCAGGATATTAGGTTAGGAGGGCGCAACCTTAAATTTTTTTTGAGGTAAAATTATCGAAATATTCTTTCAAGAGTGTAGAGACAACCCATGCTTTGCAAATTTTAGGGGGGGCGCACGCCCGCCATGCCCCCGCCTGAATCCGCCCCTGCACCAGTCTCCACCAAAATCTTTTCCAACTACTAGTCCGAAGACCAAAATTCCGACATAACATTTTTCTTCTACATGTATGTCTAAATAATGTTTTGCAAAGAGATACTAGTCCGAATAAAATTTAACTAGTCTGTCATCAGATGGCCAGACTGGACACAATGACAATAATTCACAAAATATTCATATTCATTATACATAAACATGATCTTGACTGACTCTTTTAAAGAACCCAAGGGAATGTTGATTTCTTAGACTGTTACCTTACAGTCTTGTCAAATTCTCTGAGCAAGTCATGCATGGTTTTCTCAACAGAACAGAATTTTTTCTAAGTTTTTATACGACCGCAAAAAAATTTTTGTGGTCGTATATTGGTATGACGTTGGCGTCATCGTCGTCGTCGTCAGAAGACACATTAGTTTTCGCACTCTAACTTTAGTTTAAGTGAATGGATCTCAATGAAATTTTACCATATGGTTCAATACCACAAAAGGAAGGTGGGGATTGATTTTGGGGGTTATGGTACCAACAGTTAAGGAAATAGGGGCCAAAAATAAGCATTTTTGTAACTTCCAGACATAACTTGTGTGTAAGTGTATGAATCTCTCTGACATTGTACCACAAGGTTCCATATCACAAAGGGAATGCTGGGATTGATTTTGGGGGTAATTGCCTCCAAATTTTAGGAATTGGGGGCAAAAAAGGGGCAAAAAACAAGCATTTTTCTAGTTTCGTGACAATAACTTGTGTGTAAGAGTATGGATCTCTCTGATATTGTATCACAAGGTTCCATATCACAAAGGGAATGCTGGGATTGATTTTAGGGGTAATTGCCGCCAAATTTTAGAAATTCGGGGCCAAAAAGGGGCAAAAAACAAGCATTTTTCTAGTTTCATGACAATAACTTGTGTGTAAGTGTATGGATCTTTATGAAATTGTACTGCAAGGTACCATACCACAAAGGGAATGCTGGGATTGATTTTGGGGGTAATTCCCTCAAAATTGTAGTAATTAGGGGTCATAAAAGGGCAAATAAACAAGCATTTTTCTAGTTTCAGGACAATAACTTGTAAGTGTATGGATCTTTATGAAATTGTACTGCAAGGTTCCATATCACTAAGGGAAAGCTGGGTTTTAGTTTGGGGGTAATTGCCCTAAACGTTTAGGAATTTGGGGCCAAAAAGGGGCCCAAAAACAAGCATTTTTCAAGTTTCCAGACAATAACTTGTGTTCAAGTGTATGGATCTCTCTGAAATTGTACTGCAAGGTACCATAACACAAAGGGAAAGCTGGGATTGAATTTTGGGGTGATGAATCATAAGGGGGTTCAAAAAATTTGGGGGGGGGGGGGGGTTTCCTTTTTTTTCTTTAAAATTTTCCATTTTAAATTGGTTATTTCTGATTTATATACAAAAGCAAATAATAATGATATGGTTTGAATAGGTAAATTAAAAATTTTTAAGTTCTTAGACCACTTTCATTCTGTGTGAGAAACCTATGCTGTGTCAAATATTTAATTACAATCCAAATTCAGTGCTGTATCAAGCTTGAATGTTGTGTCCATACTTGCCCTAACTGTTCAGGGTTCGACCTCTGCGGTCGTATCAAGCTGCGCCCCAGCGGAACATTTTATTTTTTTTAATTTTAAGCATTATAGAGCTTATTTATATTTTCATTTTAGTGGTACTGTATTTTTTATATAATGATAATATTCCATTGCAAGAAAGAAATTGATTGATGATTACGAAACCTACCATGCAATACATCAATTACATATATGAGAATGTTTCTGCCAAATTAAACAAATATGATTATAATTTGAAGTGATGTCGCCATACATGAAATGTATTGCAAGACAAAACAGCAATTGGCAACATTGATGATGCCTAAAGTGACCCCTGGATAAAAAAGAATTGTCAATACACATATTACAAAGCTGAAAAAAAGTCCTGCAACTGCATTATACAGATTAACCTATGAGAACCCTGGGTTTGTCTGGGCGCAGTTAACAAAAAAATTATTGTACTGGACCAATTTACTTATTTATTTATCTTTTCTGTTTATGTTTGTAGGTGTGTCCTCAGATTTCCTAGTACAAATATTAAGATTGTGTTCCAGTCTTTAGTAGAAGACAATCCCCAACAACAGCTCCACCCCCTCCACAGCTGGAAACCCCACCAAAGAAGAAGGCACCATTACCTCCATTAAAGATCAACATCCCAGATCCTGTTCAGCCGCCACGGTTCGAAAGTCCTTGTCCATCTCCAACTGGGACCATCAGGTAAGTTCAGGTATGAATAACACAAGATGTAGCGTAAACATCACAGAGACAGCAACCTAACTTTGTAACAACACAAATTAAACCTAAAAGACATTGACATTGATATTTATCATTATTTAAAAGACATTGGGCAGAACTGTACATAACTAATAATTCACAGATGAAAAAGTACACATGTATTCCAAAAAATGGTCATGATAAAACCAAAAAAAAAAAAAAAAATATGGAAAAAGATGAATATGAGATTGATTTAATCCTGGAAATTTTTTTTTGAGGGAACCGAAGGGATTTGATTAATTGAAAAAACTGTAAAGCATAAATTAAACAAATATCGCTTGCCAAACATTGTTTATTTTTGTAAATTTTTGTGCTTTAGCCATTGAAATTTTTATACTAGTCACAATCCGAGGCAGACCAACTATCACCGAAATCTGTAATCTTATTCGCATGAATGGTACAGCTGATAGAAAAATAATGATCCCTAAAGTGAAAATTACACATTCCATACCCATTAACATACATTGGTTTGATCTCCGTAGTTAAATATATATATATTTCCATGTAAATGTATTGTTTCAATTTATTGATTTAATTTGCTTAAAGTTGTCAGGGGCGGGTTTTAAAATTTTCTTGTGTAAGGTGAAACCAGCAATCAATTTTCAAGGGCACTTCTCCCTATCAGTTTCAAAAAGAGAAGTCACTTCTACCTTTGATTCTGAAGTAGTGTGAGCCTCGCATTTTATTCCTTTTTTAAATGCATTTACATGATTTATGTCAATCACTGGCAGTTTCTTGAGCAAGTACACAATTGGGACAAGTGATTTTCTCTTTTGGACAAGTTATATATTGAGGTCGTTGCCCAAAGTGCAAGTTGTTAAAAAAATTGATGTCGAACCCTGATATATAAAGTGATGGACTTCTCATTGAACAGTTCTGTTTTTTTATGTTTTTCAGTGCAGCAAATTCTTGTCCAACCTCTCCAAGAGGAGACACATCCTACCGTCCTAACTTTATATCGGAGGCACAGATCGCTGCCCTGAATGCCGCTGTAACTTCAAACAGTAGTGCTAACAGTCTTACTAACAATAATAGCATTAAACACGAAGAAAAAGACAATACCCCTATGTTACAAAATAGTGAAACATCAAGTGGAGGCGGGGGAAGTCCCAAAGATGATTCAAAGCCTCCTTATTCTTACGCACAGTTGATAGTTCAAGCTATATCATCAGCGCCTGATAAGCAATTGACACTCAGTGACATCTATGCTTATATAACAAAAAATTATCCTTATTACAGAACAGCTGACAAAGTTTGGCAGGTAGGTATTAGGTTATTCATTTATAAGTTCGAGTAACAAACCATATGTTATTCTACTTTATGTTTGTCTTTGGTGAAGAGTAGTCTCATAGGCAATCATACCACATTTTCTTATTTTCATAAGATATATATACTACAGCTTAGGTGTTATTTTTTCCTTCCCAGCTTGCAGTTACATCTACATCATTTGGTCTCTAATGGATAGTTATCTCATTGGTATTGATTGGTGTTTAATGCCACTTTCAGCACTATTGTGCTATTTTGTGGCGGTCAGTTTTCATTGGTTGAGGAAGCTGGAGTGCACGGAGAGCACCACGACCTTCAATAGGAAAACTGACAATCCTAGTCAATTAAGACTGGAGTCTAGTGCACCTGCCATTGTGCGGGATACTAACTCACAACCTCAGTGTTGACAGGCTAGTGATACAGTAGTTTGACTACTTAGACCACTTGGCCACAGAGGTACCATTGGTAATCATTCCACATCTCCTTATTTTATATTGGACAGCCCAGTTCTTTCTAAACAACTTTTAACCAAAATTTTGTTAAAATGTTGAATACAAAAGCATATCTTATTTTCAATAGTTTGTATTTGCAAACCTAAGATAAAAGAAAAGAAATGGTATGCTCAGTGCCACTGTTAACAGCTGGAAATAAGAGCATCCACCTTAGCTCTAGTGTAGTTCTTGGCACTCCTTTGTTAATAAATGGAGGAACCAAGACTTATTGGCATTGCACAAGAAAATGTATATATTAAGCTTGATAGCAGTTGAATGCAGCTTCAATAAGCACACATTGACTTTGTCGCAGCACAGATATAATTTTATACACATGTAGATACTTAGTGGCCATGCAAAATAAGCCCCAAATATAATAAGTTATAGCTGATGTGCTCCTTTAAAAGGAGGAAGATACTGTCAGAGAGAAGATGATGATTTAATATTTCTAGTATATAAATATTTTCATTTCCTGTTTAGTTTGTCATGGATGTGAATTTACCAGCTTCTACAAACAAAATAAAAATTTACATTATCAATTTATTTCTTTTACTTTCAGAATTCAATTAGACATAATTTATCATTGAATCATTATTTTGTCAAATTACCTCGATCACAAGATGAACCCGGTAAAGAATCATTCTGGAGAATAGATCCCGCATCAGAGGCCAAGTTAACAGAACAATCATTCAGAAGACGTCGCCAGAGAGGTGTGCCATGTTTTAGTGCAACATTTGGGGGCCTTTCCACTAGGTAAGTTGAAAAATTGATTTGGAATGAGATCTTTCAAAAAGAGTTTATGTCACAACATAAGGACAACACAAGGAATAGAAGAGTAAAATTTCAAAATTTTATAAGCTCACAAATAAGTTAATTGAACATATCAAGTAATATAACACTAATATAAAAAATAAGGAGATGTAGTATGATTGCAAATGAGACACCTATCCACCAAAGTTCAAATGAGGGGATGTAAGCGACTAGAGGCAACAGAACAGCCTTCAATAATAAGTTTGCTTGAAATCCTGAAAAATTCAGACTGATCATATTTCATATAGAAATTAAATGTGAAAAAAAATTGTTTATTTTCAGATCTGCACCTACATCTCCTAGTCAGATGGGAGGTTCATTTACACCTGACAGTATGTCACGATAGGGTAGTCCTATCCCTGAACATTTGGAGGAAAGCATGCCTACAGCCCCAGCCCAAAACTACATCCATCATCAACATCCACAGATTATACCTGGCAAATATGCATGCTTTCTTTGTTGCAATTTCTTGTGGAAATTGAAGATTGTTTGCCTTTTCATTGAAATTGTTACATTGGGCCTCCCGTCATGGACCTTCATGTTGGATAAATGCATAGACTTTTTACAAGTATCACTCTTAACGTTGGCCTGCCCTTTTTAAAAATCCTTGATCCGCACCTGAAATGCAAATCTTTTCGAGCTTGTCAATTGTATCTGAAATATTTAATTTATACTAGTGGTCTCAATTATTATGTAAACTCAACGCAAAATGTTTTGCAGAGTACAAGTTTTTATAAAAGCAGGGCTCACACTACTTCAGAATCATAGGGAGAAGTGACTTCTCTTTTTGAAATTGAGAGGGAGAAGTGGTGAGATTTGAAAGAGAAGTGCTTGTTCACCCGCGGCACTACAATGTTTGGTTTTTACTATAATACATTAAGGGCCATATGTATCTTATTTTTTTTATATTGTTCAATTTGTATCTGGGTATACAATTAAAGTAACTGTTCACATTTAAAGTTGTTTATTTTTATCATCTCTAGTTGCACAATCATATGAGTCCTCTTTTCAGAAAAAAACAATTAAATATCTGGACTAATAAAAAAGATTTTTTTTTATATCAAAAAGGAAAAGAAAGTTGTTATATCAATTAAAAAACTACTCTGTTATCATGTTCATGAAACTGAGTATTTTTCATTAAAAAGATATATAAATTTAACAGTTAAGCTTGGACATAATATAATTATATTAGTGTAAAAGGCCTAGAGTTGAGCAACTTTAACTTATAAATTGAAACAATGCATATACATGGAAATATATACATTAATCAAGAAGATCTAACCAAAAGTATGTTAATGCGTGTGGAATGCGTAATTTTTCCTTTTGGGATCAATTTTTGTCTGTCAGCAGTGCCATTCATGCATCCGTAGTCATTGTCGTAAAAATCCGGATTTCGGTCATACCAGGTCAGTTTTCGATGAAATCCCAACTCCGATCCGTAGTTGTACAATAATATGACCAATAATTTAAATGGCGGACGAAGAAAAATTTACAAAAAATAAACGATGTTTGACAAGCTATTTGGAAAGGAATATGACGTTTTTAATGCAATACAAGGATAACAAATTTACTTCAGACAAATTTCATCAAGTTCTAATGAAGTAACAACTTATTTTGCCGAAAGTTAAAATGATTTGATGTACGCTCGAGTAACAAGTACCTGAAGTGATAAAAAATTGTTTTTATGAAATAACATGCCACCAACTTTGAAATCAATGCTTTAACCTCTTTTCTGAAGAAAATAAATCGTTTATGCCTTGAATTTCTTTACTTTAAAATGAAAAATTACTGTTTCATCGTCTTGGTAAAAATTGAATATTGCAGATGACAAAAGCGACTGAAAGCGAGTATCTTAAACCACAGGGCTACTTGTTTTCACTTTTGAGGGTCGGGCAAAGCGAAGTGACAGACGGGAAAGCGACTTCTTCGCCCTAGTCGCCTGGTAGCGTGAGCCCTGATAAAGCTTTTGATATCAAATCAAGAAAAAATACAGTATCAAGGGAAATTATGATAATTAAAAATGCTGCCACTTTAATTTCATCACAATTATGTTGTACCTCATGCTTTGAAGTAGATGGGTATAATGTTCTTTATCTTATTCCTGTCAGTCTCTCAGTCAATGTTGTTTTCAGGATGATACACTTTTGTAACTGAAGAACCTTACTTTAGGATTGGAGTCAAACTTGGGCATATGGTGATATCTTATGAGAGGAAAATTACTATTTAGAATGGGGATACTGTTTTGACCTCTGCATCAGCCTATCAGTCAATTTTGGTTTCAGGATGAGAACCTTATTTGGTATTGAAATAAAACTTTGATACATGGTCATACATAATGACAGTTAGTATAGACTGTCCCTGATGTACATCGGAATTTGTAAACAAGTTTTAAAAAGATTTAAATCACACTATAAATTTGAAGCTTTGCTATTTTTCGTAAACTTTTATCCTTCGCGCAGGTCAATAAGCCTATACATGGTCACATGAAAGTTGAAATCTTTATTAATCTAAATTAGAGTTAAGAAAATAAAAGATCCCCGTTGGAGCTCGTAAAGACATTTTACCGCCCACCTACCAGTCATATGGACATAATTTCAGTGCTAAAAAAGAAGTTACGCATCTGTGCACCGAGATATTGCTCTTGCTTTTAACAATGTCACAAATGCATGACTTAACAGCTGGAATAGCCTGATTTTTCAATGAATCATGAATCCCCCCCCCGCCATAGAAAAAGTTTTTCCTGCCTGCCAACCCTTTAAAATTTTCTTTTGTAAGGTGAAACCAACAATCAATTTTCAAGGGCACTTCTCCCTATCAGTTTCAAAAAGAGAAGTCACTTCTACCTTTGATTCTGAAGTAGTGTGAGCCTCGCATTTTATTCCTTTTTTAAATGCATTTACATGATTTATGTCAATCACTGGCAGTTTCTTGAGCAAGTACACAATTTGGACAAGTGATTTTCTCTTTTGGACAAGTTATATATTGAGGTCGTTGCCCAAAGTGCAAGTTGTTTAAAAAATTGATGTCGAACCCTGATATATAAAGTGATGGACTTCTCATTAAACAGTTCTGTTTTTTTATGTTTTTCAGTGCAGCAAATTCTTGTCCAACCTCTCCAAGAGGAGGCACACCCTACCGTCCTAACTGTATATTGGAGGCACAGATCACTGCCCTGAATGCCCCTGTAACTTCAAACAGTAGTGCTAACAGTCTTACTAACAATAATAGCATTAAACACGAAGAAAAAGACAATACCCCTATGTTACAAAATAGTGAAACATCAAGTGGAGGCGGGGGAAGTCCCAAAGATGATTCAAAGCCTCCTTATTCTTACACACAGTTGATAGTTCAAGCTATATCATCAGTGCCTGATAAACAATTGACACTCAGTGGCATCTATGTTTATATAACAGAAAATTATCCTTATTACAGAACAGCTGACAAAGTTTGGCAGGTAGGTATTAGTTATTCGTTTACAAGTTCGAGTAACAAACCATATGTTATTCTACTTTATGTTTGTCTTTGGTGAAGAGTTGTCTCATAGGCAATCATACCACATTTTCTTATTTTCATAAGATATATACACTACAGCTTAGGTGTTATTTTTTCCTGCCCAGCTTGCAGTTAGGTGACCTTTCTATAGATGTAAACATCTACATCATTTGGTCTCTAATGGATAGTTATCTCATTGGTATTGATTGGTGTTTAATGCCACTTTCAGCATTATTGTGCTATTTTGTGGCGGTGAGTTTTCATTGGTTGAGGAAGCTGGAGTGCACAGAGAGAACCACACCCTTCGATAGGAAAACTGACAATCCTAGTCAATTAAGACTGGACTCTAGCGCACCTACCATGTGCGGGATACTAACTCACAAACTCAGTGTTGACAGGCTAGTGATACAGCAGTTTGACTACTTAGACCACTTGGCCACAGAGGTCCCATTGGTAATCATTCCACATCTCCTTTTTTTATATTGGACAGCTCAGTCCTTTCTAAAAAACTTTTAACCAAAATTTTGAAAAAATATTGAATACAAAAGCATATCTAATTTTCAATAGTTTGTATTTGCAAACCTAAGATAAAAGAAAAGAAATGGTATGCTCAGTGCCACTGTTAACAGGTGGAAATAAGAGCATCCGCCTTAGCTCTAGTGTAGTTCTTGGCCCTCCTTTGTTAATAAATGGAGGAACCAAGACTTATTGGCATTGCACAAGATAATTATTGGAACAGACAAGAAAATGTATATATTAAGCTTGATAGCAGTTGAATGCAGCTTCAATAAGCACACACTGACTTTGTCGCAGCAAAGATATAATTTTATACACATGTAGATACTTAGTGGCCATGCAAAATAAGCCCCAAATATAATAAGTTATAGCTGATGTGCTCCTTTAAAAGGAGGAAGATACTGGCAGAGAGGAGATGATGATTCCATAAATATTTTCATTTTCTGTTTAGTTTGTCGTGGATGTGAATTTACCAGCTTCTACAAACAAAATAAAAATTTACATTATCAATTTATTTCTTTTACTTTCAGAATTCAATTAGACATAATTTATCATTGAATAGTTATTTTGTCCAAGTACCTCGATCACAAGATGAACCCGGTAAAGGATCATTCTGGAGAATAAATCCCGCATCAGAGGCCAAGTTAACAGAACAAGCATTCAGAAGACGTCGCCAGAGAGGTGTGCCATGTTTTAGAGCACCAGTTGGGGGCCTTTCCACTAGGTAAGTTGAAAAATTGATTTGGAATTAGAACTTTCAAAAAGAGTTGATGTCACAACATAAGGACAACACAAGGAATAGAAGAGTAAAATTTCAAAATTTTATTAGCTCACAAATAAGGGATCATAGATTTATTCTTACGAGGAAGCTCCAAGCATGCTTCAAGCATGTTCGGAGCTTTTTAAGTAGGCTCTTCTCAGCAGTTAATGTGACAATAATTATCTTGATCCATTAAGATGTCAATCAAATCTATAGCACTTTTGTAAAGAGGAAAGTAAAGCATTATAGAGGAAGCTCAATTAACACCTGTGTAAACATCTGGTATATTCAAATACAACTTGCATGATTTTACAAAACTATAAAATAGATCAGAAATTCTTCATAAGAACTATGTAATGCTTGGAATTTTAAAACATACCGTTATTTTATAATATATATTAAAACTACAGTTAAAAATTCTTGTAATAATCGGTTTCAAGTTAGGAATAAGGCAGTTTAGAAGTTTTTTGTTTGAGGAGAACAGGCAATTTTCCTCACTTACAAATATTTAAAGATGTATAGTAATAGTTCAATTGGTATGCTTAACTGCGTTTTTGATTTAGCATACTACTGTCATGACTGTAGGAACATGACAATAGGGAGTCACGACTATACCACTTTAGTTTAGGGTTTAAATTAAAATGTGTCTACCATATAGCTATCAAATAATCTTAATATCTTCAGTTTCTATCTTATTTAACTGTTTCCCTCTATTGAAATTGTAATCAATTATTATTGTTGAAGATTTTTTTAATCTAAAAGCATACAGCATTTTAATATTAACAAAATATTTCATATGGAGCATAACAGGATGCTCTAAGATAATTATCCTACTGAAACTGTAAAATGGGTTATTCCCTCAAACTATAATGTATCATGCTGTGATATAAACCTTTGATAATAATGTTTTGCCTCTACACATATTTTATACAGTATTATTGGACAGGTTGCAGACAGACTTTTATCAATATTTACTTTTAAAATTGTGTAATCATATTTCTAATACTTGTATAAATTGAATATAAAACAACACAATACAAGAAATAAATAGTTGTTTCAACTCCAAACAACTGCCACAATGTCCATTATTATGCCTAAAATTATAAATAACTTTGTTTTATGTGGTTTTTATACGCCCGTCAATTTTTGACGGGACGTATTATGGTATACAAATGTCCGGTGTCCATCCATCTGTCCGTCTGTCTTTCCAGCGTAAACATGTCGCACCATAACTTGAGAATGACTTATCCAAATTTCATGAAACTTAACATAGTTGTTTCTTATGATGGTCAAACGATCTGTATACTTTTTGGTGAAAATAAGATTAAAACTTTTTGAGTTACAGGACTTAGTAACTAAAACAGATGTGCGTTTTTTTTCACATGTCGCGCCGTATCTCAAAAACAATTTATGATTATTGCTTAAAACTTTACACACTTCTTAGTTATATTAATCTTAAGATCTGTATACTTTTTGGTGATGATTCAAAATTTTATTTTAGAGATATTGAGTATTTTGTTAAAAAAGGGGAAGGGGTTTTTCACATGTCGCGGTGTCCATCCATCTGTCGCGCCGTATCTCAAAAACAGTTTATGATTATTGCTTAATACTTTACACACTTCTTAGTTATATTAATCTTAAGATCTGTATACTTTTTGGTGATGATTCAAAATTTATTTTTGAGTTATTGAGTATTTTGTAAAAAAAGGGGGAGGGGTTTTTCACATGTCACGCCGTATCTCAAAAACGATTTATGATTATTGCTTAAAATTTTACACACTTCTTAGTTATATTAATCTAAAGACCTGTATACTTTTTGGTTTTGATTCAAAATTTTATTTTTGAGATATTGATTTTTTTTTTTTAAAAGGGGGGTTTTCACATGTCGCGCCGTATCTCAAAAACGATTTATGATTTTTGCTTAAAATTTTACACACTTCTCAGTTATATTAATCTAAAGATCTGTATACTTTTTGGTTTTGAATCAAAATTTTATTTTAGAGATAGAGTTTTTTGTAAAAAAAAAAGGGGGTTTTCGCATGTCACGCCGTATGTCAGAAACTATTTATGCTTTTTGCATAAAAATTCACACACAAGATGAAGGGCGTATCATGCGCTCATGGCGCAGCTGTTTATTTATAATTATACTCATGAATCTTTAAAAAAAAAAAGTAATTTAAATCTTATAGAAAAAAAATTCAGTATATATATTTATATATTTAGAATCTGTTTTATATTGATAGTATGTACTGATAAAGGACTATATAAAAAGACTTTCTACATACATGTGTTAACTGATCTTCCTCTACATTGCTTTAAAAGAGAGAAGAAAGATACCAAAGGGACAGTCAAACTCATAGATCGAAAACAAACTAACAACGCCATGGCCAAAATTAAAAAGACAAACAGACAAATAATAGTACAGATGACACAACATAGAAAACTAAAGACTAAGCAACACGAACCCCACCAAAAACTGGGGGTGATCTGAGGTGCTCCGGAAGGGTAAGCAGATCCTGCTCCATATGTGGCACCCGTCGTGTTGCTTATGTTATTACAAATCCAGTAAATAGTCTAATTCGGTAAGTCACATTCGTGAAAAGGGAAGGGTATTGTAGTTACGACATAAGGAACATATCCGATATCATCTGTGAAACGGTTATTCCATAACGGTCAACCAACTCTTGATGGCGTCCATAAAATTTACGAAGGGATGGTTTCAACCTTACCATTTGGAACTCTTGGCTTTCCTTTTGATAGAAGTTATTTAGATATTATATATAATATTAAAAAGTCATTCAAGAAAAAGAAATAGAGGATTGCTGAACTAAAATCAAATTTATTATTATATTGTGAAAATTCTTTCAAGGTGTAATACCACCAAAACATGGTACATCCAGTTTCATGCCAAAAAAGGGTTGACATTTTTTTTAATATTCCCTTTAATTTGACAGTTGTTAGAAATTAACCCTGCATTTCATTGCAGAAAAAGCTTTTTTGGGTCGTAAACATGTATCTTGGGTGTTTCAAAGCAATATAATTTTTTTATTTGGTGTTTCTATAAAATATTTTGGAAATTTAAGGGGACATGGCTACTTAAGCTTGTAAACAGGGAAAAAAGGGGGAGAGGAATTCGATTGGTTAACTTCTGGTGATGTTTACTATCTTATATGCAATGAAAAGTTATGTTGTATTTTCACTGTATTACTGGACAGGATAAAACTTAACTGATGCCAAGTATTTCTTTATTTAAAACGTCAATTAAACAGAGACATAATAGGGGAAAAACAATGGTGGTATTACCCCCTCAAACCAGCCTTCCAATAATGAATTACAACTTTTCCTTAAATAGCCATAATTTTCTATAAAAAAATACTGTTGTTCAGTTAGGGGCATTTCTTAAACAAGTAATTTTCAAAATTACCTATACAAGTTATGTGAAAGCGAGGCTATTTCAGATATTACTTCTATATCATGTATAATTAACTTTTGTTAAGATTATCTTTATAGGTGTTCATTCATACAGGTTTTACTAGCTTTAATAATTTTGCACAAACATCTGCTTAATTTTCCCATGAAATATAAAACTAATCCTCCTGAAACACTAATTGCCTTTCTGACGCCACACTTCTGGGTCAGATTGGTCTCTTGGGAATATTAAAATATCATTTTCCTTGAAAATCTTAATGGTAGACAGATAGATATTAATAGATGGATTCTTGTGATTTAATTAAGACTTAAAGTTATTTATAATTTGTAACCTAAAACAATAACATGTGTTCCTTAAATAATTGTAAGTACTAAGTTTTTCAAAGATGTATAAAATAACTTTTAAAAGTAATAATTTTGTCATTATTTTTAAAGAAACCTTTTATCTCTATACTCTTCTCAAATTTGATAAATTCTTAATTCTATTTAATGAAATGATATACAAATTCATAAAAACTACATTTAGTCCATGCTTCTATTGACATTTAAAAAACTATTGAGTTATTAAATAATTTTTAAAAATAAACAATACCTATATAAGTAACTTAAAAAACCAACTTGTTTAGTAACGTCCCTGACTGTTGTTTGTGTCTTGATGACTTTTATGTAGCATATTATATAGTATAAATTATATTCAAATTATATTATCTAATTGTAAAATTTGAGTATTTTTTTATTATTAAAAAAGAATGTTTATTAAATATAATAAGAAAATATTTTAATAACAGTACCATTGAAGAATTTCTTATCCATTTTATAGTTTTGTACAATCATGCAAGTTGTATTTGAATATACCAGATGTTTACACAGGTGTTAATTGAGCTTCCTCTATAATGCTTTACTTTCCTTGTTATAGAAGTGCTATAGATTTGATTGACATCTTAATGGATCATGATAATTATTGTCACATAAACTGTTGAGAAGAGCCTTCTTAAAAAGCTCCGAGCATCCTCTGAGCATGCTTGGAGCTTCCTCGTCAGAATAAATCTATGATCCCTAAGTTAATTGAACAGATCAAGTAATATAACACTAATATAAAAAATAAGGAGATGTAGTATGATTGCAAATGAGACACCTATCCACCAAAGTTCAAATGAGGGGATGTAAGCGACTAGAGGCAACAGAACAGCCTTCAATAATAAGTTTGCTTGAAATCCTGAAAAATTCAGACTGATCGTATTTCATATAGAAATTAAATGTGAAAAAAATTGTTTATTTTCAGATCTGCACCTACTGTTGATGCTCAAGTATAACTACAAGTATGGACCTTCATGTTGGATAAATGCATAGACTTTTTACAAGTATCACTCCTAACGTTGGCTTGCCAGTAGGCCTGCCCTTTTTAAAAATCCTTGATCCGCACCTGAAATGCAAATCTTTTCGAGCTTGTCAATTGTATCTGAAATATTTAATTTATACTAGTGGTCTCAATTATTATGTATATTCAGAGTACAAGTTTTTATAATAGCTTTTGAAATTAAATCAAGAAAAAATACAGCATCAAGGGAAATTATCATAATAAAAAATGTTGCCACTTTAATTTCAACACAATTATGTTGTACCTCATGCTTTGAAGTAGATGGGTATAATGTTCTTTATCTTATTCCTGTCAGTCTCTCAGTCAATGTTGTTTTCAGGATGATACACTTTTGTAACTGAAGAACCTTACTTTGGGATTGGAGTCAAACTTGGGCATATGGTGATATCTTATGAAAGGAAAATTACTATTTAGGATGGGGATAATGTTTTGACCTCTGCATCAGCCTATCAGTCAATTTAGGTTTCAGGATGAGAACCTTATTTGGGATTGAAATTAAACTTTGATACATGGTCATACATTATAAGAAAATTCCCTAACCATATTGAGATCAGCAAGTTCATGGTCAAGGTCTCTGATATTAAAAATAGACCAACATTAGTTCAGAAAAAGGGTTGACATATGGAAACTCAAGAACATTTGTCAGAGTTTGAACCAAACAACTTGGATATATAGTTGAGGATAATGAGAGGAATATGATAATTGCTGGTAACTCATGATCTTTTAATGATATATTATCTTTTACCAGTGTTTGACTGATCTTATTGTCCCCCCCTGTGCAATGTGTTGTGGGGGACATAGAAATACTGGGTCCCGTCTGTTCGTCTGAGTTTGAAAATCACTGCCGATCAATTATTTTTTAAATGAATTATGGCCCTTGAAAATATTAATATGAAAATTTGCGTTGTTAGCGCACTCAAACATTCATTTCTCCAAGATATTTATAAAAAGTTATGGCCCTTGGACATAAAAAATATGTGCAACGCAGGGGACATTGGAACTCTGTCTTTTTTTTTTTGCAAGTAGGAAATTTTCATTCTCTTGGTGCTTTCTTCTGATGAGTCACAATATTAATTATTATACTTCACGTTAAAATGCCAGTTTTTTTACAAAATGTTCTATTTTTAGCCACGTTGGTTGCAGGCGAGGTCATCAGACATTGAAAGTAGATACTAGTATCCTGATGATTATTGTGGCCAAGTTTGGTTAAATTTGACCCAGTAGTTTCAGAGGAGAAGATTTTTGCAAATGTTGTCTCTTGTCTTGAAAACCGTTTTATATATAAAGAAAATCTGACAAGGCAGAAATGTTCAGAATAATGAGATCTACCTATTGTCCATTAACATCAAAACTGTAAGACGACTTCTTACAGGAGTTTCTGCCCTTAAATGAGGAATTTTACCAATTTCTTTTATTTTTGCCTCTTATTTTGAAAATTATAATAGAAAGAGAAAAACTTTTAATCACAAAAATTATCAGCAATACATGATCTACTCATAAGTCAAACACTGTTGAAATCGTCTGACGACCCCTTATTGAAGTTATTGCCCTTTAATAACGATTTTTACCTAATTTTGCGTTTTTGCCTAATATCTGAAAAGCTATAATAGATAGATAGAAACCCAAATAAGCAAAAATGATCATCAAGATAAGTTCTACAGATAAGTCTCAGTCTCTACTGGCCGAAATCGGCACTTTATTCATTATTGGGGTTATTGCTCTTTAATAACGATTTTACACATTTTTAGTTGTTCTGCCTCTTATCTTAGAAACTATTATAGATAGATAGCTACTTTAAATAGCAAAAATGATCAGCAAGACTAGATCTACAAATAAATCAGCATAGCCAAAATTGGCAATCAACTCCTTATTGGAGTTCTCGCTCTTTAATGACGATTTCTGGTTCTTTTCTGCTTATATCAGTTTGATAGGAACTACTTGTGATAGATCAATGATATTTTCTATAAAGTTGCATTACTATCAGTACATACCAGTTTGACGACTATTTCGAGCCCCTGCACCCTAGGTCATGTTCCAATGACTTTGAATTCATTATCGATTTCAATGGTAAGTTTTCTGCTAAATCAATTCGATGGGAACTACTTGTGATAGATGAATGATCATTTCTATAAAGTTACATTACTATCAGTACATATCAGTTTGACGACTATTTCGAGTCCCTGCCCCCTAGGTTATAGTCCAATGACTTTGAATTAATTAGCAATTTTCAATGTTAAGTTTTCTGCTTAAGTTAGGTTGATAAGATCTACTTATGATAGATCAATGATATTTTGTATGAAGTTGCATTACTATCAGTACATCTCAGTTTGACAACTATTTTGAGGCCCTGCCCCTAGGTCATAGTCCAATGACTTTGAATTAATTAGCAATTTTCAATGTTAAGTTTTCTGCTTAAGTTATGTTGATAGGAACTACTTATGATAGACAATGATATTTTCTATAAAGTTAATTGCATTTCTATCGGTACATCTCAGTTTGATGATCGTTTTGACGCGCCATCCTCTTTGTAGTCCAATGACTTTGAATTAATTAGCAATTTTCAATGTTAAGTTTTCTGCTTAAGTTAGGTTGATAAGATCTACCTGTGATAGATCAATGATATTTTGTATGAAGTTGCATTACTATCAGTACATCTCAGTTTGATGATCGTTTTGAAGCGCCATCCTCTTTGTTATGGTCCAGCAACTTCGAATTAACTAGCAATGGTGCTGCCCATCAGATCGTCTTTTCTGAATTTGTATGCCGACAGGCGAGCCTTATCTCTGTGTCAACAGTTTATTGCCAATATGTTTTTGTTTTTGCCATTATCTTACCAGAGTGCACACGCTGAAATGTCTCGCCTGCTATTCTGACCATTGATTTTATGTTGATAGTGCTAAATATAAAGTTTTACTACAAGTATCACATTAACATTTATGATCCAAGAAAATAAGGTCAATGTCAGATAAACCAAGGCGAAAATACATGTACACCTTTAATACAATCATTCCATACACCAAATATAGATGACCTATTGCTTATAGTATAAAGGAAACAGACTAAACCATAGAAATTTTATATTGACCAATGAACCATGTAAATGAGGTCAAGGTCAGATGAACCCTGCCAGACAGACATGTACACTTTAGAATCATTCCATGCATCAAATATAGTTGACCTATTTCTTATAGTATCTAAGAAACAAAATTAACCAGGAAAACTGAACATTGACCAATGGACCATGAAAAAGAGGTGAAGGTCAGATGATACCTGTTAGACAGACATATACACCTTACAATCATTCCATACACCAAATATAGTTGACCTATTGCTTAAAGTTTAAGAAAAACAGACCAAAACACAAAAACTTAACATTGAGCAATGAACTGTGAAAAGGGGTCAAGGTCAAATAAAACCTGCCAGACTGACATGTACATCGAAAAATGTTTCCATACACCAAATATAGTTGACCTATTGCATACAGTATGAGAAAAACAGACCAAAACACGAAAACTTAACATTGAGCAATAAACCGTGAAAATGAGGTCAAGGTCAAATAAAACCTGCCAGACTGACATGTACATCGTAAAATATTTCCATACACCAAATATAGTTGACCTATTGCATACAGCATTAGAAAAACAGACCAAAACACAAAAACTTATCATTGAGCAATGAACCATGAAAATGAGGTTAAGGTCAAATAAAACCTGCCAGATTCACATGTACATTTTAAAATATTTTCCTACATCAAATATAGTTAACCTATTGCATACAGTATTAGAAAAACAGACCAAAACACAAAAACTTAACCTTGTTCACTGATCCATGAAATGGGGTCGATGTCAAGTGAAAACAGTCGGACAGGCATGAGGACCTTGTAAGGTACGCACATACCAAATATAGTTATCAAAACTCAAAATAAGAGAGAAATTAACATTACAAAAAATCTTACCTTTTTTTCAAGTAGTCATTGAACCATGAAAATGAGGTCAAGGACAATGGACATATGACAGACTAAAACTTCATATCATAAGGCATCTATAGACAAAGTATGATGCATCCAGGTCTTCTACCTTCTGAAAAAATAAGCTTTTAACGCCGCCGCCGCCGGATCACTATCCCTATGTCGAGCTTTCTGCGTCAGAAGTCGGAGGCTCGACAAAAACTACAAAAGATAGATAGACACTTAAATATCGTTAGAAGACTCTTTATAGGAGTGATTGCCCTTAAATAACAATTTGTTTACCTCTTTTTGTGTTTTGGGCAAAAACTAAAGAAGATAGAGATTACAATATCAACAAAAGAGAGATTTTTGTCGCGAATTCTATTCTAGTTCACAATGTTGGAGGGTGTCCATGGTTGAAGATGCACATAGACCTAGGTGAGCGACACAGGCTCTTTAGAGCCTTTAGTTTTAATGTCGTTCTCTCGTGCAGACACAATCGAAAATCGATAATTAGAAGGCAATGCATAGAATTTACATTAATTATTTTAAAGACAATGCTCAAGTTATACGTTTCGCGGCCTCAGGCCTTTTTCATAGACTTTTCATAGCCAAGATTGACAATGATTTTATTTCGAGGTCACCCTCTCAGCTATTGTGTTATTTATATTTTGAAAAAAATATTTCTATCAGTGCATTTATGCTTTTATTTTTTTTATAACTGCATTGGTTACGAGTACTTTAAGATTTCTCCTAATGGTACCAAATGTCGGTGCCTTCTGTATATTAGTTACAATACACCTTCATATATACTAGTAAGACATTTCCATATATAAATTATTGGTACACTTCAATAATATTGAATCTATTGTTAATATCCACATATCTTATAAATTCTATTTTGAGTGATACAACTTTTTCAGAAGGTATATGTTTTGGGGTGTTTGCAATCTAATTAAAATATAGAACTCGGGTTTCATTATACTACATAGTATAACGACATCCGAGTTCTATATTTTAATTTGATTGGGGTGTTTGAAAACTTTTATATATACATATAGCTGGATGTAAGGAATTATCCGTATTACACCTACACTTTAAATGCAAAAAACAAACAAAGGATTGTACTTTCACCGAAAAGCAACTATTTGATTCTGCATGACGGCCGTAAATAACAAAGCGGCATAGGAGAATACTGCGTCCTTCAAATTTCCAACAAAAAACAACCAGTATCTACATGTAAGTACCAATGATTTCGGAAAGAATAATTATGTTATGGGACCCAATTGAAGACAGCCACTTCAAAAGACAACGCCATAGAATAATGATTTATAAGATATTTATCACATGGATCTCACATGGAATAAAAAAACCAAAAACATATATTGCTCAATTTAACAACTTTGCTTTTTGCATTGAAAAATACGATCACCACTGGTATTGGTTTTCTGTGCATAATAATCATTTTGACAAAAGCTGTAGAACTGACGAGAAGGGAGTTTAAGTATATATAAGTCTTACATGTACAGCGGAATTTGTAAACAAGTTTTAAAAAGATTTATTTCACTCTATAAATTCGAAGGTTTGCTATTTGTCGTGCACTATTATCCTTCGCGCGGGTCGATAAGCCTAGTCATGGTCACATGAAAGTTGAAATCTTTATTAATCTAAATTAGAGTTAAAAAACAAAAAAAAAACACGCTGGAGCTCGTAAAGACATTATGCCGCTCACCTACCAGTCATATGAACATAATTTCAGTGCTAAAAAAGAAGGTACGCATCTGTGCAACGAGATATTGCTCTTGCTTTTGACAATGTCAAACAAATGCATGACTAAACAGCTGGTATAGCCTGATTTTTCAATGAATCATGACCTTGCTGTGTTGGGTGAATGGGTGATTGCTGCTTGCTTTACTCCAGTGCCCAATATTAAATACATCGTCAGCACGAGAACAAATTAACAATTCATACAATAGGTATAGGTATATATAGGTAGGTAGTAGATAATGCAAGTGGTCGACCGACATGAAGGGCGAGATATCTGGTTTATTTATTATTGCTTGCTTAACGTCCAGTGACGATTATTTCATCCTTTTTCAGGACAAGAATAAATTAACAATAATACAATAGGTATAGGTTCTACATAAAGCTCACCGTGCTGCAAATATGGCTTGCAACTTCAGCATGCTTTTACTGCCGAATGGGATAAATACAGGGATGACCACATTTCTATACCCCAGTCAATCCTTGCGATTCGGGAAATTTGGACTGCTTTTATTAGACACCTATCCAGACTTTATCGTCATTTCAAGTCAGAGAAACGTCAGCTCAAAGAACAGGGGAAATCTACGGCTGGTGTTATCAATTTTTGTTTAGATAAAACAGTAACAGTTAAAAAAAGTCCCGATGCAGACCATGGAATTCAGGTGAGATGAAACCAACCTGGGAACAAACCTTTTTGTTATGCAGCTTTATATTGCTATCAATCACTTTAAAATAGTTCGTATGGTTACTTGCACATCTTCCGATGGTATGGTAAACTTCCATCATACAAAGATTCGTTGAAACTCATAACCATTTAGGAGGAGGTGTGCTTCATTCAAGATAGATATTGATGGGAGTAGATATTTATTCTTACTGCCATCAAAATTGTGTTTCCAGGGATACAAAGATATAAGGTTTCTTTTTTTTTATTAGATCAAAGATGCTAGATATTCTATATACTAGTTGTTCCAAACCTTGTTCGTATGAAAATAAGAATATGTGGAAAAGATTGTCAATGAGACTATCCACCACTTGAAGACCAAAGGACAAGGATGTTAGCAACTATATGTCATCACAGGCCGTACAACATGCAGTGAGTAAAACCCACACCGTAATGTATGTTATAAAAAGGCCATAGGATGACAAAATGTGAAGAAGCAAAACAAAAAAAGAGGAAACCACAAGGCCTGATTTATTCTAAAATATAATTCAACGAAAAACAATTGTGGCAGACAGCCACCAACGACAACCAGTTGATTTCATGTAGGCTCTTGACTTTTACAACATGCAGTTGATCTTTATTATCATTCGCTCAGGTCGAAAACATTCTGGCGTCTTCGTGTACCAAGGTCAAAATCTGATGTATTTTTTTTTAAAGAGCATTTAAATACTAAATAGTATTCTTGTCTTATTAGCTGGACTAATTGGTAAAATGATATTATTGAGACATGCACATACTTTAGATACTTTTAAGGTCAAATTTCAGTCTATGTTTTAACATTACGGATGCATGAAGATACCTGAATCAAATCGAATTTTATTTTCTATTGAATGCACAGTTGATAATATCATTTATAGTTTACTGTTCTATGTGATTTATTTGTTTGTATATTTGCTTGTATACTAATTATTTTTCAAGGTCTCCTTATAACAGGCACATATAGTTGCTAACTTCGACGTTATCTATACTCTCTGGTGGAGAGTTGTCTCATTGGCACATCTTCTTATTTTTATATAAAGAATTTTAATTAGGGTAAAGCGACAAACAAAAAAGACAAAAGACACAAAGTACCGATCTAAGAGTAACCGGAGTAAATGAAAGCTTGTTCAAAGTCCAATTTCATCTTATTAATAAAATATTTTATTGTTTTTCTCATAAATCAGGCAGTCGATTTTCTCGTTTACATTGTTTCACATTTGGACTATGGTGGATACTTGGCTCATTAATTAATTGGCAATAATACCACGTCTACTTTTTTATATGTTTTCAAGTCTAACTTAAATCAATCAGTACACCACAATGGATTTAGTGTAAAGACGGCGCTTGCAGTCTGAGAAAATCGTGGATTTGTGCAATGCCAAAAATTATATGTATCGACAGGATTTATGTCTATAAGTGTTGTGATACGATTGCCAATAAGACTTGAAACTATCCACCAGAGGCTAAAGGACGAGGGTCGACAGAAACATCTATAAAAATCTACAAAGGTCGTCGTACACAGCCTTTAACAATGTGCAAAACCAAAGCCGTATAGACTTGGTAAACTTTAAAAGACACCGCCATGACAAAATTCAAAGTTGAAACATTTCAAACAGAATACCAACAGCCTGGTTAATGCTAAAAACGAAAAACAAATATGTTGAATTGTGTTTTGTACTAATTAAAAACTATTAAAAGTAAAATAATGCATGATCAGTACTGATAAAGAAAATATTGAAGGATCTTAATTACTACAATAATAGATAAAAATCTTCTTTTTATATAAACAAAGGATATTGGGTATCCATCCATGACACAAAATCAGTACATAGATAGATATAAGAAGATGTGGTATGAGTGCCGATGAGACAACTCTCCATCCAAGTCAAAATTTAAAAAAGTAAACCATTATAGGTCAAAGTACGGTCTTCAACACGGAGCCTTGGCTCACACCGAACAGTAAGCTATAAAGGGCCCCAAAAATTACTAGTGTAAAACCATTCAAACATGCACAGCAAAAAAAAAACACACACACACACACAAAAAGCAAAGGAACAGCGCTTTTTAATATTGCTGTTCTTCATCTCAAAGTCACAGTCAGACCTTCAACACGGAGCAAACAAACTCTTACCTCACTGCAAGTTGAAGACGGCCCCGAGCACAGGCTTGAGCGGAATTCTTTGCAAAAATAATTTGGACATAAGGTGCATTTGTCATATAATTTTTTTAAATCAGTTTCCGATTTTTAACAACACTTTTAAATATCAATGTATGAACATTATGAGCAGATGGTTCAGATATTCATCCTATGTATTTTTATAAAGGAGACAATGGGTCATCTGAACATTTTTCAAAATTTTCGGTACAATATTGTCCGTTTCAAGTAAGTATAATTTAAAATTTGTGTTAACGAAATTTTTGTTTAGACCTTCCGGAGGGTCTGGATGGCGGGGTGTGGGGTCCTTCATTTCTGTATTCTTTAGTTTTTTAGTTAATTTTTCTCTATTCTTTATTTTTTTGTCCATTATTCTCCATTTTGTTCATTCTAACACCTCATTCTCTCTTTTTTAATTTTTTAGGCCATTTTTGTCTATTCTTTTTAGTTTTTGCCCATTATTCTCTATTCTGATCTATTCTGTAAACCCCCATCCACACCCTCTTTTAATACTTATACTGCTTTTTTTTTATTGAGACATGTTATTATCTAACGTATTTTTAGCAACAACTTATTTCACTGTGATTTTTACTGAACTAAATTCTAAAAAATGATAAAAAAATATTTCTTCATGATCTACTAGATCCAGAGATATATATACGTCTCTGCTAGATCCAAGTAGCTAGTCCCCCTTCCTCCATAAGATTAAAAGTAAATGGGTGCCCCCTTAGGTCAATACAGCCACCAAAAGATAAAAGTAATAATAATTGATTGATTTTAATTCGTCCAACTAACGAAAATGAATTTAAAAATATTTGTTTTAAGATCTTTTAAAATGCCGGCTAAAACAACACGAAATACTTTTAAATTTACCGCGTTTTAAAGTTTAGGGTAAACCGCAAAGCATGTCGGGATATTGTGATGTAAACACTTGGAATAGGGTATGTTGTTTTCCCTTGATTTGCTGCCATTTTTGTGTGCTATCGCCTCGTGATGTCTGCTGTTCCACAATCGTCAGATAACGATGCTTGGGCATTGTTATCTCTGATGAAGTCTGCACCAGCAAGTCCTAAAGGCATACAATGGCAGCCAGATCCACAGAACTCATCTATTGCCAGATTAGAAGGAAGAGACTTCGAATATTCTATGCGAAAAAATCGGATCACAATAGGGAGAAATAGTAGCAAGGGTGATGTCGACGTAAACATGGGACATTCTAGTTTTATATCTCGTGTTCATCTTGAAATTTTCTACGACCAACCGAACTTTTTCATGAAGTGTGGTGGGAAGAATGGCATATTCATTGACGGCATCTTTCAGAGAAAAGGCGCACCGCCTTTACAGCTTCCAAGGACGTAAGCACGCATTTTCCCCATGAGATGGCCCCTCGAACTTGTCGGCGTTGTTTACAAACATTTACTTAAAAATACACGACGACACCGTTTTTTATCGACGAATCGGCTTCCAAGCTATCAAAATTCACATATTTCATATATCAAAACACGTCTTAAGTCTTTATTTTGTAAATAAAGGGTAACCATGTGCTCGTCAAATAATGGCCGCTATGTAAACAAAATGGCTGCATGTTTGTTTACGTTTTAACCTGAACCTAATCGTTTTATCTTTCGCTTTTGAAATGACAAATAAAAAAGAACATTTTGATTCTCATATTTTAGAAAAGAAACATGATTTCGAAATTTTGAATGTTCTGTTCAAATCTGGTTTTGTTTTAAAATTTGTCAAAATGGGTGTTTTGTTTGTAAACAAAATTTTGAAAGCTATCAAGCATGACTTATTGCCATAGGTGTGAGGACTTGTCTTTTTTTGAAGTGAAGTAAACATTGATATAACTTGTGAGGTATTTTAAATACAGATTACATTTCACTTATCTTATTAAGAAATTCAACTTGTTCAATTTTTAATGAATGCATTAATTTGTCAACAACTTTATTTTGATGCACTGCAAACACAACAGGAAAACAATCAAAATGAAAAAGCTCTCCTCTAGAATCAGACATACAAATTTCCAGAAGTAAGATTGGGGGGGGGGGGGGGGAGTATTTTTCTTGGTCTGTTATCAAACAAAGGTTAGCCGCAACCTATTGGGAATAGCTTCCCAAATGAATAAGTATACTTCAAATTTTGTATATTTTCAAGTGTTTAAATGTTTTTTAATTTTGAAAGTATACTGTATGCTTATACATGTTAATACATTTTTATGGAAAAATGCAATAACTTTTCATTAATGCTTTAATTTGACATAAAAGTTCCTTGATTTCATTATTACCCAATTTTGCAATCATGGGCATCAGAAAAGACACTAGTCTCCACCAAAATATTTTCCAACTACTAGTCCGATGACCAATATTCCGACATTCATAACATTTTTCTTCTTTGTCTAAATAATGTTTTGCAAATATTTACTAGTCTGCATAAAATTTTACTAGTCTGTGGCATCAGATGGCCGGACTAGTGGCTCACAGACTGGACACAATGACAACAATTTACAAAACATTCATATTCATTATACATAAACACGATCTTGTCTGACACTTTTAAAGAACCCCAGGGAATGTTGATTTCTTAGACTGTTACCTTACAGTCTTGTCAAATTCTCTGAGCAAGTCATGCATGGTTCGTCTAACAGAACAGAATTTTGTCTTAAGTTTATTTTTTAATTTAAACATTATAGAGCTTATTTATCATGTTTATATTTTCTTTTTAGTGGTACTGCGTTATATAATGATAATATTCCATTGCAAGAAATTGATTGATGGTTACGAGACCTACCATGCAATACATCAATTACATATATGAGAATGTTTCTGCCAAATTAAACAAATATAATTATAATTTGAAGTGATGTCGCCATACATGAAATGTATTGCAAGACAAAACAGCAATTGGCAACATTGATGATGCCCAAAGTGATCCCTGGACAAAAAAGAATTGTCAATACACATGATACAAAGCTGAAAAAAAGTCCTGCGACTGCATTATACAGATTAACCTATGAGAACCCTGGGTTTGTCTGGGCACAGTAAACATACAAATTATTGTACTGGACCAATTTACTTATTTATTTATCTTTTCTGTTTATATTTGTAGGTGTGTCCTCAGATTTCCTAGTACAAATATTAAGATTGTGTTCCAGTCTTTAGTAGAAGACAATCCCCCAACAACAGCTCCTCCCCCTCCACAGCTGGAAACCCCACCAAAGAAGAAGGCACCATTACCTCCATTAAAGATCAACATCCCAGAACCTGTTCAGCCGCCACGGTTTGAAAGTCCTTGTCCATCTCCAACTGGGACCATCAGGTAAGTTGTGATATGAATAACACAAGATGTAGCATAAACATCACAGAGACAGCAACCGAACTTTGTTACAACACAAATTAAACCTAAAAGACATTGACATATTCATGATATTTATCATTATTTAAAAGACATCAGGCAGTTGATTGAACAGAACTTCTAATTCGCAGATGAAAAAATACACATGTATTCCAAAAAATGATCATGATAAAACCAAAAATACGGAAAAAGATGAATATGAGATTAATTTAATCCTGGAAATTTTTTTTTGAGGGAACCGAATGGATTTGATTAATTGAAAAAACTGTAAAGGATAAATTTAACAATAATCGCTTGCGCAACATTGTTTATTTTTGTTAATTTTTGTGCTTTAGCCATTGAAATATTTATACTAGTCACAATCCGAGGCAGACCAACTATCACCGAAATCTATATTCTTACGATAATAACTACAGACGCATGAATAGTACAGCTGACAGAAAAATAATGATCCCAAAAGTGAAAATTACACTTTTTGATCTCCGTAATTAAATATATATATTTCCATGTAAATGTATTGTTTCAATTTATTGATTTAATTTGCTTAAAGTTGTTTAATTTATAAATCTTTTTAATGAGAAACAATGAATTTCATAATCAGGATAGTTTACCTCATTCAATTTTAATTGATAAAAAGAATCTCTTTACCTTTTTGATTTAAAAAAAAAGTTTTTAAATAGTGCTAGATATTTAGTTGGTAGTTTTCTGACAAGTGGGGAAACTATATATAACAATTTAAGACATAAACTGAGACAACAGTTACTTTAATTGTATTCTAATGTATGATTTGAATAATATAAAAAAGAATTTAATAAAATGAATTCATATTCCTTTAAATTATTGTAAAAATGAACATTGTAGCATTGCAAGGGAACAAGCACTTATCATTAAACGCCATTCAAAAAAGATTATCTGTTTCCCCTTATCTTTACGATCTTTTCTTTTAACAGATGAAAAAAAAATAAGCGAGACTCTTTTAAGGCAATTATCAATATGGTTTATTGGTGTGAAAATTTGATTCCCCCCCTTCCCCTTCAGAAAAAGTTTTTCCTGCGCTGACCCTTTAAAAGTTTCTTTTGTAAGGTGAAACCAGCAATCAATTTTCAAGGGCACTTCTCCCTATCAGTTTCAAAAAGAGAAGTCACTTCTACCTTTGATTCTGAAGAAGTGTGAGCCTCGCATTTTATTCCTTTTTTGAATGCGTTTACATGATTTATGTCAATCACTGGCAGTTTCTTGAGCAAGTACACAATTTGAACAAGTGGTTTTCTCTTTTGGACAAGTTATATATTGAGGTCGTTGCCCAAAGTGCAAGTTGTTAAAAAAATTAATGTCAAACACCCTGATATATAAAGTGATGGACTTCTCATTAAACAGTTCTGTTTTTTTGTTTTTCAGTGCAGCAAATTCTTGTCCAACATCTCCTAGAGGAGGTACATCATACCGTCCTAACTTCATATCCGAGGCACAGATTGCTGCCCTGAATGCCGCTGTAACTTCAAACAGTAGTGCTAATAGTCTTACTAACAATAATAGCATTAAACACGAAGAAAAAGACAATACCCCTATGTTACAAAATAGTGAAACATCAAGTGGAGGAGGGGGAAGTCCCAAAGATGATTCAAAGCCTCCTTATTCTTACGCACAGTTGATAGTTCAAGCTATATCATCAGCGCCTGATAAACAATTGACACTCAGTGGCATCTATGCTTATATAACAAAAAATTATCCTTATTACAGAACAGCTGACAAAGGTTGGCAGGTAGGTATTAGTTATTCATTTGTTTGAGTAACAAACCATATGTTATTCTACTTTATGTTTGTCTTTGGTGAAGATTTGTCTCATAGGCAATCATACCACATTTTCTTATTTTCATAAGATATACAGTACAGGTAGAGACTTATTATTATGGATGTCTTAATCCGTCTAGATGTCAGACTGGTCGGACAGTTGTCTCAGTGTAATTAACACCTGCTGTGATATTAACCTGTACAATATCCGAGTGGAAGGTCTTAAATCAATCTGTACCAGCTTGATTAGAATTAAATTTTACCTGTACAGATATTTTAGTATTTATGGAGGATAGATAATAAATGTAAAATATTGTTTTGTATTCAAAAAAAAAATTACAATAAAAATAAAAATTTAATATCATGAATATTGGATCAACTTTTTTTTAACTTGAAAATGAAAGAAAGACGATTTTTAACAATGTACTGTAAAAATGTGTTGCCAATGATAATAATTGTGTTTGTGCCAATAAACTATTTGTATTTGTAAACCGTAAATATTTCATTTTATTCAAAATTATAACAACCAGGGCTGTTTTCAATCGAAGTTTTAATCAAAATGTTGAGACATCAATCCCATAAATTATACGAGTTTTCGTTGATGGTTACAATATTTCCCCCTTTTAACGTCCTGTTCCTTTATGTTATTAATAGAAACACAATTTTAAGTATAAGGCCAACATATCGTATTTATAAAGTATATAAACAAATTGAATATAGACATTGTGAATAAACTGTTATTTTCCTTTCGATACCACGTTCCCCGTCGGAGCCTCTACGTCTATTCATACCTGTCAATCATTTCTCGCAAGTTAAACAATTTGGTCAGCCAGATCATCCGTGCTTTCTATATTGACATATATTTCCCGTTAATCTCTTTGAAACAATTGTTTTTTTTACAATATTTATAACGCCGTGATCATCTTTCGATTCCTAGTTTTTATATAAAAAAAACTTTTCATATGCACGTCAATATTCTATGACCCAGCATTATTTTAAATTTTGTATGTTAATAAATTTACATATAATGGAAATAACAGATTTGTTGACACTCGTTGTATTATAACAAAGATATTGCCTTTCTATTTCCATGTTTGAAATTTAAATGAAAATCGTGTTTTTTATAAACATATTTTACGAATTGTGTCAATCAATACACGAAGATCAAAGTTTTACACTATTCATGATCAGCCGTCTTTACTTTTGCGTCGTATATCTAGCCATTCTAAAGTTCGTGCAGTCAGTAAGATTTTGTAAATCGATGTCGGCAGTTAAAATTGTATAATTCCCGAACTTAAAAGGAGGTGTCCGAATAAATTATTTAAATAGGAATCTGGGTGTTGACTGATAAATATAATAAATAAAATAGTTAAAGAAGAGTAAAGCTTGTTTTGTTTATATGTACAAGGATTAAATTTTCTTTTCTGGTAAATCAATTATTAATGGATCTCGATCAAGAGCCTCAAAAGTAACGCACAATACTGCCAATCATTACGTATCAAATTAAATCATGAATGGATTATCCCACGGTCGGTCAGTAAGGTCAGCTGTGTTAACTGTTACGATATTTCCCGCCATATGAAAATCACGTGCATTTGACAAAATTTTTTTTTTAATTTTTATTATTTTCAAGAATTACAACAAATACAACACATCAAACATACATACAGTAATATTAGCAATACATTTGAATATCTATTTATTTATGACAATAAACATTGTTGAAAATTCAGTTTTATATTTATATGAAAAGAGAACATAAATACGGAAGAAAAGATAATTTGAGTTAAATGTTTATGTACCACTGTGTGGCACATGAGAAGGCTAAAGTATTTTATGAAAAAGGAAGAAGTTAAAATATCCTGTAAGATTTTCAGTACATAATAAGTTGTGCTATTAGATACAATAATATATTATGTTAGTTTTGACAAAATTAATCCCAGCTATTTTTAGCATTCAACATTGTATTGTGAGTGAAGTCAAGTTCAAAGTTGAACCACATGCTGTTGATCACTGATATGTGTATCATGGAATTGTCTTTTCACGGCAAATATTTTTTTAGATTGGTGTCAAAAATACAACATACAAGTTAACATGCATTGTGCGTAAATTAATATCATGCAATTAAGAGTCAATGCAGCACCATAAAATTATTTAAATGGCAGTTATTGCATTTCTTTAGACTACAAATCATAGTAAATATTTAATTAACTGGTCATCAAACGATTGAATGCTTCTAGTTTTAATGTCCATTCATGTCAGTGGCAATTATTTCATGATAATTTAACAAACACAGAAATATCAAAATAAACCTAATTCCCGAGAAGAATTGTTATCTTCTTCTAGTGTTATTATTTGCATACTACTTTAGTTATATATCACAAACTTTCGGACAATATTTGTTTACAGTAAAAAGTAAATTCACAATTATAAAGAATCACCAAACTACTAGTATACAAGTATTGCTCACTGTAATTATTTTTACTTCAGAACTGACCCAATGCAGACTGAAAATTAAATACAAATGTAGTGTTGTCAAACTAAAACGTATGCAGCAGCACTTTGCACATCATTCTGCTAATCAATGGGTTTACGTGGAAAATAAATCAGTAAAACAAAAATAACCTTCCAGAAATAAAAAAGAAAATATTTTAAAAACTGTATGCCAACAAATACGAAAAAAGATTTCTTCTATAACAAAAAAACCAGGGAACATAAAAAATAATATTTTGAGGAATATAAACAGCATTTGAAATATAAAAAGCCATAAATAAAAAAATAAGTTGTCTCCAGTACTTCACCTGTAAAAATATTTTATGTCAAATACGATGTAGAACTGATCAATAAAGTGACTGAGATGTTTAAATCACAGGTAACCTGATTCTGAAATCAGTGAAGCGTAATAATCTAGTAGCACGGATTGAGATGAAAGGACAATTATATTACTGTTCACACCTGGATCTGTTGATTAATGACCATACTACCTACCATAAAAAAGTCAGATTATTCATTTCCGACATGTCCCAGTCCGTTATTTATAGTAATAAGTCTCTACCCGTACTGTACACTAAAGCTTAGGTGTTATTTTTTCCTGCCCAGCTTGCAGTAAGGTGACCTATCTATAGATGTAAACATTTACATCATTGGGTGTCTAATGGATAGTTATCTCATTGGTATTGATTTGTGTTTAATGCCACTTTCAGCACTATTGTTGCAATTTCGTGGCGGTCAGTTTTCATTGGTTGAGGAAGCCGGACTGCCCCGAGAGAACCATGAGCTTCGATAGGAAAACTGACAATCCTATTCAATTAAGACTGGAGTTGAGCACACCTGCCATGTGCGGGATACTAACTCGCAACCTCATTGTTGACAGGCTAGTGATACAGTAGTTTGACTACTTGGCCACAGAGGCCCTATTGGTAATCATTCCACATCTCCTTATTTTATATTGGACAGCTCAGTCCTTTCTAAACAAATTTTAACCAAAATTTTGTAAAAATATTGAATACAAAAGCATATCTAATTTTCAATAGTTTGTATTTGCAAACCTAAGATAAAAGAAAAGAAATGGAATGCTCAGTGCCACTGTTAGCAGGTGGAAATAAGAGCATCCACCTTAGCTCTAGTGTAGTTCTTTGGCAATCCTTTGTTAATAAATGGAGGGACCAAGACTTATTGGCATTGCATAAGAGAATTTATTGGAACAGACAAGAAAATGTATATACTAAGCTTGATAGCAGTTGAATGCAGCTTCAATTAGCACACACTGACTTTGTCGCAGCAAAGATATAATTTTATACACATGTAGATACTTAGTGGCCATTAAAAATAAGCCCCAAATATAATAAGTTATAGCAGATGTGCTCCTTTAAGGAGGAAGATACTGAGAGAAGATGATGATTCCCTATTTCTAGTATATAAATATTTTCATTTCCTGTTTAGTTTGTCGTGGATGTGAATTTACAAGCTTCTACAAACAAAATAAAAATTTAAATTATCAATTTATTTCTTTTAATTTCAGAATTCAATTAGACATAATTTATCATTGAATCGTTATTTTGTCAAAGTACCTCGATCACAGGATGAACCCGGTAAAGGATCATTCTGGAGAATAGATCCCGCATCAGAGGCTAAGTTAACAGCACAAGCATTCAGAAGACGTCGCCAGAGAGGTGTGCCATGTTTTAGAGCACCATTTGGGGGCCTTTCCACTAGGTAAGTTGAAAAAATTGATTTGGAATGAGATCTTTCAAAAAGAGTTTATGTCACAACATAAGGACAACACAAGGAATTGAAGAGTAAAATTTCAAAATTTTATAAGCTCACAAATAAGTTAATTGAACAGATCAAGAAATATAACACTAATATAAAAAATAAGGAGATGTAGTATGATTGCAAATGAGACACCTATCCACCAAAGTTCAAATGAGGGGATGTAAGAGACTAGAGGCAACAGAACAGCCTTCAAAAATAAGTTTGCTTGAAATCCTGAAAAATGAGTGTGTTTCATATAGAAATTAAATGTGAAAAAAATTGTTTATTTTCAGATCTGCACCTACATCTCCTAGTCAGATGGGAGGTTCATTTACACCTGACAGTATGTCACGAGAAGGTAGCCCTATCCCTGAACATTCGGAGGAAAGCATGCCTACCGCCCCAACCCAAAACTACATCCATCATCAACATCCACAGATTATACCTGCAAGTTCTATTGCAGAGCTGTGTAGAATAAGTCAGTCAGCGCCTGGATCTCCTGCAGGTAAACAGCAACACCCACTAACTATGTTTATCAACATCCACTTATAATATCTGCTGGTTCTTTTACAAAATGAGTTGTTTCGTGCCAGGGTATATTTCAAGTGAAGTTAAAGTGATCCAAACTATGGTACGCTATATTGTTCTTATGCTTTGACTTTGAGCTTGTTTCATTTGGTTGAAGAAAAAGTTACTTTAAATAAACAGAAGTTTTGACAAAACAACTTGAATCTACAAACTAAATCTTATTTTAGATAGATGCCATAGACAATGTTTCGTGAATAGTGCATTTTCTAATTACCAACTTATTTACTGATTTTGGAATTATTTGCCAATGAAAACAGTTAATTCCTAAGACATACTACCTAACTGCTTTTAGGAATCTTGTGGAAAGGGCATGTTGTGATAAATATACACAGTTTTTCCTTTCAATGAATTTTAAACCTGCTTGGGTTGCCTCTGTCATTCTTTATTTACATCTGTCCCATGGCATTTTTGTTGCCCTGTTCTCAGGAACTACAAATTAGAGCCTCTTAAATTTGGTTTCAAGTTTCCTGTCAGCATGCTTTACCTTGTGATGTTTTCAGATAATACATAATAATAATTTCACATGGCCATGTATGAAGTCTTCTTGATTTTTTTTTTCAAATTAGGGTTTTCTGTAATTTGGAATCAAGCTTCAGTGTTCTCCCCAGGCCGATATGACGCTGCGGTGCCGCAGCGCCTTCATAATATTTTTGTAGATCCCGCAGCGTCTTAATTGACCGCTGTCCCTTAATACTTGATCCCGCAGCGTGTTAATTTTCACATTTGCATTATAAATGTTGGTTAAAATTGTCAAGTTACTGATCACCGCTGATGGGTCGGTCAGTGTTACGCAATAACTGATAATTAGTTTTACCTGAGCCACGCTTATCTCAGCCTTATCGGACTATGTTATCAGGTAATAGCGTAAATGATCATCAAGAAGATAGATATTTTTTGAAGAAAATTAAAAAATTTAAAAACTTCAGTGCAGAAATTGAAGAAATAGATCGCAAATACATTGTATTTACGCATCGTGTGTGTGATCACTTGACCATTTATATAACGAATTTTTTCATTGGTCTAGAAGAAGAATCTATTTTAACACGACCAATGAACGTGTTGAATACACATGATAAATTTGAATACACATTGCTAAAGATATTTACGATGAAAACTATGAATGAAAGTATTAGTAGTTGAAAAAATTAAAATAAAGTTTGATTAAAGATAACGAGGAGTGATTTACTTTAATAGAAAGTGAAAAAATGTTGCTTGCAAGGTAAATTCGTCTGAAACTGTCATATTTGTAGAAATAAAATCATCATTGAACATCGATCGTGAATCCGTGCGTCGGGAAATATGTGACAATCAACACGGGTACAGAATCGCCGCAGCTTCTGTATAATGTCATTGGTAAATAATTTCAATGGTTTTAACTTAAACGAATTTGTAAAGTTTCGTTTATATCTATCTGCCAAAGATAGGATTAAACAATAATACGCACGGAAGCGTAATGTGAAACTACGGAAACTGGTCAGCTGTTCATTTCTAAAAAAAAATAGTTTTAAAAAAGTTGTATACCAAATATCTTAACCATATTCGATTTTATTAATTCTGAATGAACATGTTCTCTGCAAATAACAAAGGGGTGAATTATAAGCAAAAGGTAGATGATGGAAGTAGACGTTTTTTTCACACCAATGACTTCTAATGAAAAGGGGAATACACCTCTGTCTACACTGTCAGTATAAGCAGATTTCATTGCTTCTCCTAATCCCAACCAAGCTCAAGTTTTAGCAATTGATAAAAGCAAGCACCATGTTTCTGGTTTCAATGACAAGTGGCTGCATGACTGAGTTTCCATGGCTTAGAAATGTTAAAGGGGGTATAAGCAAAAGTTATTGTGAGTGGGGGTTTAATTTTTAACCCTGAAGAGGATAAAGACAAAGTTAAGGAACAGACTGTCCAACAAAATAACACTATCTTGAAACAATATCCCTAGAAGGAGCAGAGAGTAGAGATGAATATTTATATTTTGACTTCTTTAATTGACTGAATATAAATAACTTTTGTGTTTAAAATCAATTTATTTCAAATATATATCCTTGTAATTCATTAATACTCTGCATTATTAAACACATAACACAAAGCATTATAATTCATATTGCATGTCATAATTTATGACTTATTGCTTCAGATCACAAACGTTCACTCTAAAAAAAGAGTTACGCGCCCTTGAATTTTGCGCCTTAAAAAAATCCTGGGGAGAACACTGAGCTTCATGTAAGCATGTTCATCAACTTCCTGCTTCCTAAATACTTTTTGGTACATGCACTTGTAGCACAGGTTTTATTTTTTATTTAATAATAGCAATAGGTCACAGTTCATCTTGTCAGTATCAGATTCCACACAATACACCACGCTTGATCCACTTGATTTGTAAAGGCAGGGGTATAGTCTTTCCAATCCAGGAGTTGTTTCTCTTTGTAAAAATTTCTAAAATTAGTAATAAAAATAAAATCAGTAATTTTAAAATGGACTATTGATTGAGCAACTTGTATCTTTCAGCTTCAAGAGTTATGTCCCCTATTTCAGTTACAACAATGCAGCCATCGGTGTCGACAGTATCTGCTCTTCATCAACTTCCCACAGTCATCACTAAGCCCAAAATCATGGTAACAAATGCTGCCCAGATGGTGTTGAATGGACCATCCCATACAGTGTCTAATTCATCTTTAACTAATGGGGCCCATGCAGAAATTAAAAAAGAAAATAGTATGTCAGCTGTGTCTTTTGGTGAGTATTCACTTATTCAGTGTTTCAGTCTAGTACGTACATAGCAGGGTATATTCATATTTATAAGTTTCCTGAATAGGCACTAAATATTTGCATCTGGATGTGAAGCTGCCATCAATCAACCAATCACTAATACAGTAAAACAAAAAGACATATTTTTTTTCATCACAATGATATTTTTACTACAGTAAAACCTGTATAAACCGGCCAGCTAGGGGACTATGAAAAAGGGCCGGTTTAGACAGTGGGCTGGTTTATTCAGGGTTTCCGTTTTGACGAAAGTTAATGACTTGTGACGTCCGATATATTGCATGTAAAAGTTCTGTCTAATTGTAAATTATAAACTGATAAATACAAAACGTAATAACGTAATAACTTCGCATGATCGTTGTTTTGAATCTTTTTATTCATTTGAGGGGCCTCGGTGGCTGAGTGGTCTAAGTAGTTACTACTGTAATCACTAGCCAGTCAACACTGAGGTTGTGAGTTCGAACCCTGCTTGTGCGGGTGTTCTCGACTCCAATCTTAATTGACTAGGATTGTCAGTTTTCCTATCGAAGGTCGGTGGTTTTCTCCGGGCACTCCGGCTTCCTCCACCAATAAAAACTGGCCGCCACGAAATAGCCCAAAAGCGGTGCTTAAAAGTGGCGTTAAAACACCAAAAATCAAATCAAATCAAATCTTATTCATTTGCTATAGAAATTTCAGAAACTGGTTGTTCCTCAAATTCGAAAAAATAATGTTTTAATTTTTTTTACATATCCTCGTATGTCAAAAAGACCTTGGTAGCATCAGTTTCCGACCTGTCAGTTTCATTTTCACTTTGTGTTCATTGTTTTCATTTGCATCATAATCCTCGCGTTGTTTGAATTGTTACACGAGAGTTTCGTTTTACTTCCATCGTTCATTTCCGACGTTGGTAATGCCAATTAAAAAGCAAGAATTTTATTAAACGAAATTTCATCACGATCGAAACATTGTCGTACAGTGTACGATACCCGTTGATTGTTGTCATCCGGGTGTTCTTCATTATCAGGGTCATTGGTTTAGGGGTTCACAACAGGGAACCCAGGATTTCAAAAACACGATGTAAATTTCTTACTCTGCGATTTGACAAAAAATATCCAAGTAACAACGTCAGTTCTATCCGAGATATATACGACGTGTCTTTTAGTTTAATTTACACTTTTATAGTGTTTTTATAATACATCTCACTACTATACCATTGTAAGTTCAGGGTTTAACACCTGGCTTATTGATTATCCTTAAAAGCCATCTTGTATAAACAAATTTGTTTTGATTGCATATCGATCAATACTGTTATCATTTTAAATTAATTAGACAAACCGGTGTTGACAGGTAATAATTGATGTAATTAAGAGTATTGGGACTGCATCATTAGACTGGAATTCGGAATACACAGGGTCCGGTTTACAAAGGGTTTTTTAGCAAAGACTTTGAAGGGAAAAACATGGGACTTTAATTTTCGATCGGAATGGACAGGAAACCGGTTTATTCAGTGTCCGGTTTACTCAGATCCTAGCAAAAAAATGTAGTTATGAGTATTGAATGCTTCTTTTTTGTAATTTTAAAGGGTTGAAAAAGCGTTGACCATGCGCACATTTTTAGAATGAAGTACGGAACAAAATTTACTTCGGTCAACGCTTTTACACCCCAATAAATTAAGATATGACAAAATCCACATGAGAGCTGTTCCATTTAAACATACATAGTACATAGATGGAAATCACTTTGAAAATTGTGCAAGCACTAATAAAAATTTCTCTTTAATACCGTTCCACTGCACAAAAAGGTCTGAAGCACATAGCCCTGGAGGAGATTTGGAAGTTTTATGCCCCAGCCGCGGCGGAGGGAGCATTAAGTGTTACCGCAGTCTTTACATACATCCCAAAATTAGTTTCAATTCTCCAACTTTAGTTTTCCTCAACCAATTGTTATGAAACTTATACACAATGCTTATAACCAACAAAAAAAAAACAGATCAAGTTCGAATTTGGGTTGCGTCACTTTTACTTTTCTTGAGTTATGTCCCTTAATAACGCTATATGCAAGCAGGGGGCATCATCTGTGTCCCGTCCCATGGACACACATGGGACACAGACTCCATTTATTTTTCACTGGGTCCCATGTTAATTTTTGGAAAGTTTGCTATAGCAAAAAACTTTCCTAAGTCATCGGCCTCAAACCGGAAGTGACAGACAATCTTACTTTAGGATGTGTGTTCTACTCCTAAATAATGTAGTACTGGTGTTTGACAACTAATTATAGGAAGATGCTTTTGAAATTTTGAGTTAATTCTATTTTAATTAGCTAACAGTTTGAATTAAAATGTACTGAATGTTCATCGATTATTCAAATAATTCAACTTCATTTTGAAATGGCTATCACAAACACTACTTTGCGGATCTGTGCTGCGTGGAAAGTAAAATCAATACACATCTACACAAGACAGCAGTTTCTACGTTATGCTTTTATCGGTATTCCCCATACATGCTTGAGATCCATATCAACGGGAGTACTATAATCCCAGTTTCAGGGGTTTCCTCCCGTCCTCCAGTTGAAGAGAAAATAAATACCGTGTTTAAAAAATTTCATGAATGAACATTTTTCGACGCTTACTACGATTTTTACAATGTTTATTAAAGACGTAAAAGCCCGAGTGTATCGAAAGTATCCTGGTATCTCATCTCGGCCCACAACAAACTCGGACTATAATAAACTCGGCCTATTACATTATCGGCATCAGAAAATCGGACTATAACAAAATTCGTAATTATACTACTTGCTATTAAGTCTCCCAAACAAAGTTTTTCTCAGGTCTTAGTATTTTTCTTCTTGAGGTCTATTAAGGGGTATTTTGAGGGGCCAACAGAAGGGAGGGATTTACTATAGAACCTTGTGGGATTTATTTTTTTAAAATTTTCAAATGACTATAAGGTGAAAACAGTAAGTGATAGACACACGAGGTTTTCAGTAATGATCACAGGATCATAAAACAAATCAAATGAAATATAGCGGGAGTCCTTCTGGATCAGCCCCACCCCCTCCTGTTTGAGAACTTGTAAATGGTTGAGATCCCCACCCCTAAACCATATATATTATTGTATGGGACAATAAAACAAGTCAAATGAAATATAGGGGGAGTCCCTGGGTGTCACCCCCACCCCATCCTGTTTTGAGAACTTGTAAACGGTCAAGATCCCCACCCCGAAACCATATATATTCTTGTACGGGACAATAAAACAAATCAAATGAAATAAAAGGCGAGTCCCCTGGGGTCACTCCCACCCCCTTCCTGGGAATGACTAATTATGGGAGCTTTGTTTGGGAGACTTACAGCATCATGTTACAATTATTTCTTGTATTAAGTAATTTTTTTTTAAATCGGAAAAACACCCAATCTACACATTTACAACCTATTTGAAATATTACACATCTACCGTTGCAAACTTTCCACAGGTGCTATCCAGCACTTTAATTATGGAATAGCCCTGAGAAGATTGCAGAGATAACACATGACTTAAAATATCTCTACTGTACAGTACGGTGTAACAGAATAATACAAAAAATATACATATATTTCTATGCTCCAAATGAATAATAATTGGGGTATAAACATACAATAATTATAAGTAAGTTTTATTGGTTAGTGTTGGTGGTTAAACGTTATGGTTATTGCTTGTGATCCTGGGTGTTAATTATGTGAGTCATGTAACCATGGTAACCATATTGAGTGTTGTCTGTAATGATTGATAATTTACTAAATCTTTCATATTCTGTCAACATTAACAAATGATTAATCTGTGTTTAACTGTTCTCAAGGAATTTAAGAAAATGAAATTGGTAATTAAATTAGATTTCTAATGTCTTTTCAGATAAGTTTCAAGGAGTTACAGTCGGTGGTCAGACTGTTAAGCCTGTTACATTAGTGAGAAATTTAATAACAAGTTTAGCCCAACAAGGCGGAATGTCAGCAACTGGCCAGCCATTTACAGTGTTGCCGACCAACTCGAGTCAGTCGAGTCAACCGACGGCCATCTTGTCACAGTCTATTAGTAGTACATTGGCAGGGTCACAGGGCTTGACCTTGCTATCTCAGCAAGGAGGCTTGCAGTATGTTAATGCCGCAGGGGCAGCTTCGCGGCACTCTGACGGGCAACAATCACAGACTCAGTTTTTGGTAAGGCTTTGAGACTGTAAATATGAAACCAGTTCTAATCATATGACTTTTATAATTTTAAATTCATTTTTTTTTATTTTATTTAATTTCTGTTCATAAATATATATATATAATTTTCTTTAACAACGCAAACAATAGACAATGCATAAGTATGACGTCACCCTGTATTTAAGGGATTATTTTCTGTTTACCTTGTTCTGGGAATGCTGATCTAATCCACATAAAATATTGACCAATTAAACTTGCAGTTTACTTAAATGTTATTGTCCATTTAATGGTACTTAAAAAAAAATGTGTATATGTGCAGGATTTTGAAAAGATGGAAAGAATAGAAAACTTGACTTGCATGTATTTGATTTTGAAAAAAGACACTTGACAAAAACGGAACAATACACCCCACCCCACAAAAGAGGGTAATAACTAATCAATTGTATTGATTTTTAACTATGATAGATTTATTTGTTGTTGAAAATATATATATGTTTAGTTGCACATGCACTTAAATGGTTAACAGCTTTCATAACACATGAAAGATTGTAACAACACAAGTTGAATACAGTTAACTCTCGTTGTCTCAAACTCTGTTGACTCGAAATTTCGGATGAGTCGACGTTTTCCCGTGGTCCTGAACTTTGTTCCATACATATGTAAGTATTTCGACTCCTGATGAGTCGAAAATTGGATGAGTCAAAATTTCGGTTGACTCAAACTAAATTTACAGTCTCAAGGTTAACAAAAGCATTCAAAATTCATTATTTGTCTCGAACTAAAACACATATGTCAAAACATGACGTCTGGGATTTAAATGGATTGAAGAGTTGATCTGACAATACATGTGTAATTAAATTTCCGGTCACTGACTACTGAATTGTTTTATGACATTCTTTTTCCACGAGTGTTTACCTATGATTATCTCTAATCACCAAGATAAATAATTAGTGATACATTGTTATAGTTTAATAAATAAGAGATGAAAAATGTGATTATAATAATAAAATACCATAACATACAGATACATCGATCTAAGATCAGAATATCGATCCCCTACCCATATTCATCCAGATTTATTTTAGCTTTACCAAGCTAAGCAAGAGTTGTGTCCCTTGGTCTGACAAACTTCCGGTTTTTCGTTTGAGTCGAACTATGGGTATCTCCAAATATTTCTCTGGTCCGTTGGACTTCGAGATAACGAGAGTCAACTGTATATCAAATGCTTACTGAAAATATAAAGCATTTTATCTTTATGTTTGGTTTATAATAGTCAAAGAATCAATGTTATATTTTCATTGGATATAATTGAAACTTTAGATTTGTGAATAAATAGTTTTATTCTCACAATGTTTTTAAAAGAAAATATTATCTTCCATTACAGGTGACAACAGTAGGTGGTGTTCCGTTGACACTTCCTGTTACGTCAAAACGTCCGGCAGGAGACGGTGATAGTGCTATGCCTATTGAAAACAAACAGATCAAACTGGAGGAACAAGTTGGAAAAGAAGAGCCAAAGGCAGAATAAAACAATTTATTTTTACAGAAATTTTTACTCTTTTGTCTGTTAGTTGTTATTGGAGAGATATTTTTACACATTTTAGCTCGGGTGGGTGACAAAACACATGAAAGGCTGTTTTTGATTGGTTATTTAGAGATGATGATTTGATTGTTTGTTATTCACGACCTGATTGTTAGAGACGATTGAAATTGACTGTGTGTGAATATATATTTCCACTTTGTATTAATACATAGCAATACTTCTCCAAGTTTGTGTTGTCAGTTTTTTTTTTACAGAAATTCACTGTAAATTGTGTTTTTATGGATTTTAAGGGAGATTGTTACAGTCTTGATTGAATAAGTCATTTCTTCACTTCTGAATGGACCCCAAAAAATACAATGGAGAATGAGTTATTCCCCATTCTTGGGATTTGCAATTGTTCTCAGCTTTAAAGACTTAACAATAAGTGGTTCGTAACTTCTAATTTCTTGCAGTGCATAATTGTATGTTGTATTTGCTTTGTAAAAAATATAGTCTTTGTAGTCAAACCTAAGTATAAATTTTGGAAATAATTGTAGATAAAACAAAAATACATATTTTTCTTTGATTTTTGCTTTTCAATATCTCTAATAACATTGCTGAGAACAAGAAGTTATCCCTTGAAAGCAGAATAACTTATTTCTGTATTATTTTATAGTTAATTTCTGAATTCATGGCATAACTTACTGAAGTACTATTTAAACACTACAGCTAAAGAAGATTTTTCTTTTTCAACCCACCCCATTTGGATTGGACACAGCGTAGTCTAACTTAACCACCCTATGGAATGATGTTTATGATAAGCATTTGTATTGATTATTTCTACAAAAAAAAAATGAAGTTCAGTGGGGTATGGGGGGAAAGGCACTGAAGCTGTAGTGTAGATATAATTTGTTAAAGAGCAAGAGACTCTCTAAACATCTTTGTTTTTAATCCTGTCAAGTAGTAATTATTGCCATGTACTAATTTTAGTTTTTCAGCATTAACATTCTGTACTTATTCAAAAAAAAATTCTCTGCCTATAGACCAAAAGTTTTCTGGTACTTTTGGTGTCACAGGGGCAATATGTGATATGACAGTTTCAAAAATGTGTTAGGATCTTTTGGAATATAAATAACTGTTCTTAAAATTACATTACTTTAACCATGTTTGAAATGCGCAAATTAAAGATGTGATAATGGGACAACAAAAAATTTGATGCTTCAAAATTTTCACAATTTTTATTGGAAGATTATTTATTTTGAATAAAAATATCCTGTTCCCAGATATATAATAGGATGATGAAAAAAGCTCTTAGTTCAATATATATCATGTTTTATAGATTAAAGACCCTAAATTCACATTTAATCCTATTTGACTGGATCATTGATTGTTGTTTTATTGTTAGAAATAACTTTAATTATGCTAATCTGGCAAATGATTTTAAGTGGTTAGACCTGGGTTCAAGGGAGATAACTCTTTTAATTTGTGAAACAGAATTAAAATTATCTGAAACTTAAAAGCTTAGGAAATAATTTATAAAATGGGTTGAAACAAGCGTACAAGTGATTTTTGAAGAGTTATGTCCCCTATGTTTACTTTTTCATTTATGTTTTTCGGTTTGTGCGTCTCTCCGTTAAAAAAGTTTTTGGTCAAGGTAGTTTTTGATGAAGTTGATGTCCAATCAACTTGAAACTTAGTACACATATTCACTGTGATATGATCTTTCTAATTTTAATGCCAAATTAAGAGTTTTGACCCAAATTTCACTGTCCACTGAACATAGAAAATGATAGTCGAGTGGAGCTTCAATGTACTATGGACACATTCTTGTTTGATATATGATTTCATGTTGATTTCCTCAATGGATAAAATATTGCAAAATTCATGTTTCTTTTACATATAATGTTGGAAAAGAAAGTTTTTTGATGGTTGACTTAGTATTTAATAAAGTGAAAGTGTTATTTTGTTTTATTAAGTAAGGGGAAAAATTACTCACTCCTAAAAGCATTACCCGGTAAATGGAACAAGCATAGTTTGTTTTTCGAAGGCAGCATTTTGCTCATATATTAAACACATAACATACATGTTTATCTACTGATAATAAAGATAAATTTTAATGAAGTAGAAAAAATGATAGAAATTAATTTATTGTCTGCACAAATATTTGTTGTTGTTGTTAACACACTGTAAGAGAATATTTTCTAATGATATTGTTTATCTATGAAGTTGGCGAGCATCTTTTAATGTTTTGAAAGAAGTAGAGAGTTTGGTTTTGAGGAACATTGCTTTAATTTTAAAAATTAAGTGGATGTACTACATTAATTGAATATTTGACGAGAGTTTGCATAAAAGATGGGAATAGTTAAAAATGGAAAATAGTTTTTGGACATGATCTGTCAATGTGAGAATATGCAAGTTTAAAAGAGTACAAGAAAGGGAGATAACTTTGGATGTTCTGTCCACAATACTTGATAGGCAAATAAAAAGAAAAAAAATTGTATCATTATACTGAAATCAGTATTAAGGATGTTTGCTACTCTTGTTTTTAATTTTTGCCAGATTTTCGGAATCCTCTGGTTTTATCCATGTATTGCCATTAAAAAATTTTGCCCGCTAACCCCTACTTTTATTTTCACAATTTTATTACATATAGTTTAACAAGCCATATTTGAAAATCTTACTAAATCCTTGTTATTTTTTCATAGTATTTGAAACAAAAAAGTGGCCAATGTTAAAACTATGAAAAATCTAGAGAGAATCATTTCCGCCAAATTTTCAATGGCTTATATCTCGAAAACAAACACATGGACCCTTCTTTTTTTTTCTGCTTTTTTAGTTCCTTTATTTATATACTATCATTTTAGAACAGTCTTTTAAAAAGCTTATTATTTTGAAACAGAGTAGCGAACAACCTTAAAAGGCAGTTCTTATTAACTTTTTAGTATGAAATATTGTTTCTAAAAATAAGCTTCAGTACTTGGTTGAGGCAATCTTACAAAGGCTTTCATGTAAAGGAAGATATATATGGATATTTTTTTTTAACATGTTAAGTAGCAGAATATTAAGTTAAGGCATTTGAGTGGACAAAATCTGAGAAATTCTGCAATGGTAACCCAAAAGAATAGACTGCTTTACATGTAAGGATTATCATGTTAATCAAATGGTATAAAAAGATTATACAAAGAAGATTTGTGTTGAACTTGAAAGAATTTGTTGTTGGAGATGTGATTTTATGATTTAATAATAGTGCTGATTATTTTCTGTGTTAAATTGTGGATCTACTTTTTGATAGATTCTCATGATTGTTTAATTGCTTGTATGTAAAATTAATTGTTTTTCTTTGTTGAAAAATGCAAATATAGTATCTAACTTTGTTGTGATAAAACATTTAAAGCTCAGTCAGTTTATTTATCAAAATGATTTGCATTCTGGGTAATTAAGATTAAAGCTATAAAGGGCTATTTAAATGTACATGGTACCCAGGGAAGGCAATTTCATATTGGGTAACAACCTATAAAAACAAATTACAATTTGCTGTAATTACCCCCCACCATAGGGGAAATTCCATATTGCCTTCCTTGGATCCCCTTTATGTTTTTTATGGAATTATTCAAGCCTTGTGGCTGAAAATTTAAGACAGTCTCTTTTTGACCGATTATTTATGGCATTGTGACTGAAGAATTTAGGCAGTCTAATTGTGGTGAATTTCCTTAAAAAGATTTTCAACAGTCACTTATGGAATAAGTGAAATGCCCAGCTTTTTGTTGTTTAATAAATATTTATTAGATTTATTTGAATTATTTAAAGATCGCCATGTTTGATTAGCCAATTATGATCACTAATACTATATTACAATTACCTTAATTCTTATGTGAATAAATTTTATACAGCTTGAAAAAACTAATTTTCAATATTTTTCTCACAAACATTAGTAAAATTACTTACCCTTTTTCCTTATTAAAGAAATCAATCTTTTATACTTTATATGACAGTTGTTGAAACTTCAAAAATCATTCTACTATTCAAGAATAAGATTTAATATTACAGCTTAATTATAAATTAAAAACAAATTGATAAAAGAAAATCATCAATATCAATTTATTGTACCCCATTTTACATTCACACATAAGTTCAGATTTCAACAAATTTCATAAAGGTTTGATGGAATTATTTGCCTTCAAACATTACAAATGCATATGTTACGAATTTTTTCCATAATTTTATAAGCTAACAATAAATAATGATAATTATGGATTGAAAATGTTCATTGTAATTTATTATTTTGTATCGTCTTCATTAACATTTTTGTGGACATTGTAAATAGATATGTAGCATTGTTGTTCTCTTTACTGGTGAACAATCATAAAGTTGTTCCACATCACTGGTGAACAATTATATTGTTGTTCTCATCACTGGTGAACAATAATATTGTTGTTCCATGCCACTTGTGAACAATTATATTGTTGTTCCACATCAATGGTGAACAATTATATTGTTGTTGCACACCACTGGTGAACAATCATATTGTTGTTCCATGCCACTGGTGAACAATTATATTTTGTATCATTGGTATTTAATAACTGGATAGTAAAAAATGGTATGTCCCATCAGTGGGTTGTACCACTCTGATCAATAAAAAATATTGTTTTACTGACACTTTTTTTGTTTTATTTTATTTTTATACGCCTGTTTACGGGACGTATTATGGTATACCGTTGACCGTCTGTCCGTTCGTCCGTCCCTCCGTCATCAACATGTCGTACATTAATTCAAAAACGCTTTAACCAATTTGCATGAAACTTTGGTGAATTGTTTATATTTATTGACGTGAGCTCCCTTTCGTTTTTAGCTCACCTGGCCCAAAGGGCCAAGTGAGCTTTTCTCATCACTTGGCGTCCGTCGTCCGTCGTCGTCGTTAACTTTTTACATTTTAAACTTCTTCTAGAGAACCACTGAATGGAATGAAACCAAACATGGCATGAATGTTCCTTATGAGGTGCTGACCAAGTGTTGTTACTTTGTAGCCGATCCATCATCCAAGATGGCTGCCAGCTGGGGACTTAGTTTAACATAGGACCCTATCGGAAATTCATACAAATGTCTTCTTTTAGAGAACCAGTAACTGGAATGAAACCAAACATGGCATGAATGTTACTTATGAGATGCTGACCAAGTGTTGTTACTTTGCAGTCGGTCCATCATCCAAGATGGCTGCCAGCGGGGGACTTAGTTTAGCATAGGACCCTATGGGAAATACATACACATGTCTTCTTTAAGAGAACCACGGAATGGAATGAAACAAAACATGGCATGAATGTTCCTTATGAGGTGCTGACCAAGTGTTGTTACTTTGCAGTAGGTCCATCATCCAAGATGGCCGCCAGCAGGGGACTTAGTTTAACATAGGACCCTATGGGAAATACATACAAATGTCTTCTTTTAGAGAACCACTGAATGGAATGAAACAAAACATGGCATGAATGTTCCTTATGAGGTGCTGACCAAGTGTTGTTACTTTGCAGTCAATCCATCATCCAAGATGGCCGACAGCGGGGGACTTAATTTAACATAGGACTATGGGAAATACATACAAATGTCTTCTTTTTGAGAACCAGTGAATGGAATGAAACAAAACAAGGCATGAATGTTCCTTATGAGATGCTGACCAAGTGTTGCTACTTTGCAGCCGATCCATCATCCAAGATGGCTGCCAGTGGGTGACTTAGTTTAACATAGGACCCTATGGGAAATACATACAAATGTCTTCTTTTAGAGAACCACTGAATGGAATGGAACTAAACATGGCATGAATGTTCCTTATGAGGTGCTGATCAAGTGTTGTTACTTTGCAGTCGGTCCATCATCCAAGATGGCTGCCAGCGGGGGACTTGGTTTAACATAGGACCCTACGGGAAATACATACAAATGTCTTCTTTTAGAGAACCACTGTATGGAATGACACCAAACATGGCATGAATGTTCCTTATGAGGTGCTGACCAAGTGTTGTTACTTTGCAGTCGGTCCATCATCCAAGATGGCTGACAGCGGGGGACTTAGTTTAACATAGGACCCTATGGGAAATTCATACAAATGTCTTCTTTTAGAAAACCACTGAATGGAATGGAACCAAACATGGCATGAATGTTTCTTATGAGGTGCTGACCAATAGTTGTTACTTTGCAGCCGATCCATCATCCAAGATGGCCACCAGGGGGGGGGGGGGGGGACTTAGTTTAACATAGGACCCTATGGGAAATACATACAAATGTCTTCTTTTAGAGTACCACTGAATGGAATGAAACCAAACATGGCATGAATGTTCCTTATGAGGTGCTGACCAAGTGTTGCTACTTTGTTGCTGATTTACTGTTCAAGATGGCCACCAGGATATTTTATTAAATAACGGGACCAATATTAAACCAAATTTGGCCTCAATCATTATTTGGGTATCTGTTATGATTTTTATCTTTCTTTACATGATTTCTAAAACCAAAGGAGAGTCAGGTGAGCGACACAGGCTCTTGAGAGCCTCTAGTTTATAAATTTCAGATTTACCATTTCGGAGTTTTGGGGTTTTATTCATTAAAAAAGGGGGATTTTCCAGTTTTCGGACAATTACTCAAAAACAATTTCACCAATTTGCATGAAACTTTTGTGAATTGTTCATATCTATTGACGTGAGCTCCCTTTCGATTTTTATAAATTTAGGATTTACTGTTTCAGAGTTTTGGGGTTTTATTCATTAAAAAAGGGGGGATTTTCCAGTTTTCGGACAATAACTCATAAAAAATTTCACCAATTTGCAAGAAACTTTTGTGAATTGTTCATATCTATTGACGTGAGCTCCCTTTCATTTTTTATAAATTTCGGATTTTCTGTTTCCGAGTTTTGGGGTTTTATTCATTAAAAAAGGGGGTATTTTCCAGTTTTCAGACAATAACTCAAAAACAATTTCACCAATTTGCAAGAAACTTGTGAATTGTTTATTTCTATCGACATGAGCTCGCTTTTGATTTTTATAAATTTCAGACTATACGTTTCTGATTTATGGGGTTTTTTCGTTACAAAAAGGGGGATTTTCCAGTTTTCGAACAATAACTCAAAAATGCTTTCAGCATTTTTTATGAATTTTTGGTAAATTGTTTATATCTATTTTTGTAAGCTCCCTTTTGATTTTTATAAATTTTTGATTTTACATTTCCGAGTTATAAGATTTTATTTGTTTACAGTTTGACAACAGATTTACTAAGTATTACGCAACAGCACAGTGTATTGCACAACAGCAAGAAATCTTTCATATAACCAATTTCAAGTTCTTTGACTATATTTATTCAGAAACCTATAATATATCAAATATTTAATTACAATCCAAATTCAGACCTGTATCAAGCTTGAATATTGTGTCCATTTTTGCCCCAACTGTTCAGGGTTGGACCTCTGCGGGCGTATCCAGCTGCGCTCAGCAAAGCAGTTTATTTTTGTTCCTTTGATATTAGATTTTTGTGGTCAAAAATTGTCCATGTAATCAAAGGCTGCATACATAGTACACTACATTTTCCACACAAGATCACTTCAACAAAAATATAGTGCATTAAGATGAACATTCTTTGCAATTTTAACATGTACATTTTAGCAGGATCTGCTTACCCTTCTGGAGCACCTGAGATCACCCCAGTTTTTGGTGGGGTTCGTGTTGCTCAGTCTTTAGTTTTCTATGTTGTGTTTTGTGTACTATTGTTTGTCTGTTGGTCTTTTTCTTTTTTAGCCATGGCGTTGTCAGTTTATTTTCGACTTATGAGTTTGAATGTCCCTTTGGTATCTTTCGCCTCTCTCTCTTCTAGCAATTTATCAATGAAATAAATTTTTAAGCAACAAAAGGATTTGTATGTGTATAACCATACGTTCAAGAAAACTGTTATTGCAAATTACACAAGTGAATTAATCCGCTTAAAAATAGTCAGTTACGGTAATATAGAAATTGGAGTTATCTATTTTTATGCCCCACCTAGGGGCATTATGTTTTTCTGTCTGTGCATCCGTTCATCCGTCCATCCGTCTGTCCGGCTGTCCCGCTTTAGGTTAAAGTTTTTGGTCAAGGTAGTTTTTGATGAAGTTGAAGTTCAGTCAACTTGAAACTTAGTACACATGTTCCCTATGATATGATCTTTCTAATTTTAATGCCAAATTAGAGTTTTGACCCCAGTTTCACAGTCCAATGAACATAGAAAATGATAGTGCGAGTTGGGCATCGGTGTACTATGGACACATGCTTGTTGTTAATAATTGTAGTAGAACCTGCTATAATTTATGAGCAAGGTAAGGTATTTCAAATAGATTCAAAGCATTGCCTCTCATTGCGATTGCATTGCAAAGACTTAACTTTTAGCTTCTGCTGTTAAATGAATGCATTGCTCACAAGCACTTTGATTATCCTATTTTAAGGAAATAAATGGGCAACCTCATAATATTTAATACCAAGGGAAATTTTGCCAGAAATAGCATATTATTTTTAATCAATATTCTATGAGTTTTTTTATACGACCGCAAAAATTTGCGTTTGTACATTGCTATCATGTCGTCGTCCAAAGACATTTGGTTTCTGGACAATAACTTTAGTATAAGTGAATGGTACTCTTATGAATTTAAACACAAGGTTCAATATTACAAAAGGAAGGTTGGGATTGATTTTGGGGGTTATGGTGCCAACTGTTTAGGAATTAGGGTTAAAAAAGGGGCCAAAAAAGTTTTTTTTTGGTTTCTGGACAATAACTTGTGTATAAGTGTATGGATCTCTATGAAATAGTACCACAAGGTTCCAGACCACAAAGGGAAGGTTGGGATTGACTTTGGGGGTTATGGCCAAAACCGTTCAGGAATTAGGGGCAAAGAAAGGGGTGAAAAACAAGGTTTTTCTGGTTAATGGACAATTACTTAAATATTAGTCTATGGATCTCTATGAAATTGAATCACAAGATTCCATACCACAAAGGAAAGGTTGGGTTTGACTTTGGGGGTTATGGCTCAAACCGTTCAGGAATAAGGGGCAAAAAGGGGGGACAAGGTTTTTCTGGTTTCCGGACAAATACTTAAGTATAAGAAAGGATCTCTATATATCTATGAAATTGTACCACAAGGTTCCACACCACACACAGAAGGTTTGGGTTGATTTTGTGGGTTGTGGCTTGAATCGTTAAGGAACTAGAGGCCAAATATGGGCTAAAAAAACTTCTCTAATACTGGCTAAGCAGGTTCTAACATAAATTATTTCTGATCTATATAAAGAAACAACAAATACTGATATGGCAGGAGATACACACCAAACAGGGTGTGTAAATTATCATATTTAGTTTGTAAACAGATTTACTTAGTATTGTGCAACAGCAAAGTATTGCACAACAGAAAGAAATCTTCAATTGAAAATAAATACAAATCTTTTTAACCAATTTCAATGAGGATTAATTTAAAGTCTTGAATTGTTTGAGGTGTTTACTCGTATTACTATATTGGATATTTGGACAGTTTTAAAAAGGTCTACATTGAGGTCCAAAGAGTCAAAAATTAGACTTTGTTTGATTTCATCAAAAACTGAATTTTGGTGGTTCTATGATATGCTGAATCTAACTGCTTCAGATTTTAAATTTTGGGCCCTGTTTTC